CTACCAAACCGAGACATACTAGTGCACAATTTTACTTGGTGGAGAAGCATTTGAGGCAGCTGTTTAATGCTTGTTTACTCAGTTCCGGCAAGGAAATGTTACTGACGATAAGCGGTGTTTGTGAAGTGGAGGGGGTCGTTCTGCAGAAACGTTTCAGTGGGCATTGTTTTCCGTTTGGAACTTGTCAGGTAGATGTGGCAGGTTTCGATTGCCCGGCACTCAGGTCAGATTCCATGCTCTTAAAGCGATCCCTAAGAGACTGTCGACTTCACGTGTGCACCTGACCAGTATGCGGTCAAAATTTGTTGAGTATTAGTGAATAGTCAGACATCTTCGACACTTGCTGAACCAAGGAGAAATTGGATGCTGGGGTTCCTACACACTAGTTGTCATTGCATGGTGCCGGCGTTTAAGGTGTAAAGTTCAACTTGAACATTGGGCCTTCAGTTACTGGTGCATCGTTTTAATAAATCTCATTCTGGATGCAATGTTTGGTGGACTGCTTATCCTGAACAGGCTACATGAGCTTGGTAATACTGACTCCAAACCCAAGGTCTGTCAGCTAACAGGAGGGGCGTAATAAGCTGAGGGTAACTACGTGGCCTCTTACCAACATTCAGATTCCTAGCGATGTTCGGCGCATTGCTCATCCATACAAAAGAAACCTTTTACCCAATGGCATCTGGAACTGACTCAGCGACAGGCGATGCACCAATCACACAGCAAGGAATGGTCCGGTTGCCATAAACAGCTACCGGATGTGTAACTACCGAGAAAAGTCAAAATCAATATTAGCAAGTTGGTATATCGGATGGCCAGCATTTTTCGGTAATCAATCAACATAACCCTTCCTTACTGTGTGACCTGAAACTCTGCTCGATATTCTTCAGATGGCCTTCTTCACTTACACCAAAAAACCGTAGCTGTGCGCTAATTACGACTTCAGAAATGAACGGGATAAGGTCTGTGTGAGATGCACATATATACTGTTATCATGTCGTTGGATATATCTATCAGGAATAAACATGAAGGCCCTATTGTGTAAACCTGCTGAGCCAGACTAAAAGAAAAATTTGTACCATGTTCGTGGACAGAGAAACTGAGAGTGAGACAATCGACGATCTCACGGACTTTAACGCCAAATCTCCCTGGTCTACTCCAAGACTTCTGATGAGGCAGTCTCATTTGTGTCTCACAGAAACAACATTTAGGTCGATTACGCCGACCGCCATGGATTACCAGCAACAGACAAATGGGGATTCCAATCACATACCTATCGAGACGTTGGGTGTGCATGGTACATGTGTTCAGTCAGGTGGTGTGAAGTCAAATCTTGGAATCAGAACTACAGATTCATCAACGTCGCCCGTGGACTTCCCTGTGCTGCCTACGACAAACGTTCAAGCGCTTTTGGAACCTGAGCCTCAGTCAGGAGGCCGGAGCTCCACAGTGAAGGTTGTGCAACTAAAAGCTTCATCTCCGCGACCATGTCACCATCATAAGACAGTTTGTGTGGACAGCCAAAGCTCTCAGATTGTTCCACCTTCTGGTGTCTCATCAGAGTCGATCACTTATCATTCAGCCCAGATAACTAATGGCTCAGAGCAGATAACTCGGATTTGTAGTCAGGAAGGTGGTAACCCTCAGCCGAATGGAACGATGAATGTAAATGCTACGAAAGGTTTTCAAACCTTCCATGATGTGCCTGATTACTCTAGTATACCTCACGCTCGAAAAACAGGAACTAACCCCCAGGTTCTATCAATGGGAATCGCGGGGCTCAGCCCCAGACTTGCACCAGGCAACGAAGTATGGTTACCTTTTACTCAGACTGTAAATCCTGGTCGGCAATCGGAATTTCTTGGTTCATACTTTGCGCCCAGTCAAGCAGGCAGGAAGAATTTTAAACCTGATGAACTTCCTCTTAAACCAGTGGGTTTTCTTGAAGAAGCTAAGCGTCGGCAGAGATTGAGGTGGATTTTAAATCAGTATCGTGATCCCACCAAACGTCTCAAAACAATCTTTGGGAAGGCAGATATTGATCAAAACCATTCTTTTCACATGTTACCCGGAGTTTCTTCATACCGCCCCAGTGTGAAACCTGATTATACTACGTGGCACTTAGATGACGCTGATCTGTTGAATATTTCCAGGAGTCCGCTAGGCACAGGATATGAGGTATAGTTTATCATGTGGGAAATTTTATGCAGTGGTCGCTTCTAATACATTTGTGAGGTTTATTTACAAGATTTAATCTTAAACTGACAGGCCATCTCCACTTACATAAGTAAAACGACCCCTCTATGGTGACAAGGATCTCACGAAATTCATTGCGAAGCAAGGAACTAGTTGCTTGTTGCTCTCAAGCGTACCAGTCTTGCAAAGTCCCTGGGCAAACATCTGCGTTTTTCAGCAAACAGTCGGTTTTATTTGTCAGGAACCCATTCTCTATTTACATCAAACAGCCAACATCTGAACGGCTGCATCACTTGTGATGTTTGGTTTGGATGTTTGGAACTCCGTCTACGTTGCTAACGTGTATACACCATTCTGCCTAACCAGTGGAATTGTTTGGTCGAGTTAAGCTCGAGCATCGCTGCTATTAGAATTCCTCAATGATTCATCTCGTTGACCAACCCTATCACTTCCTACCAATCCGTTCATCCACGCTAGTTGCGTGTTTGGTGGGGAATATCCATTTTGGTTAACATTTCTGTGAAAAACCAGTCAGCCTGCGAGAAGAAATATCCTCTTCGGGTCAACATCCGTCACGGCCCATCACTACACCATGGTTACAGCGTTTTCACCAAAACACAACAACAAAACGCGCTTCTTTCTCGAGGTATTTTTCTTTTGAAAAGTAAAATCATTAAGAGGTGCGATTGCTTCACTTTTGCCAACAGACCCCAGAAATATTCCACACAGGGTATTGTGGAGAATGTTGGTAACTCAGACAACGTAGATGAATATTCGTTTGTACACTGATAATTCAGTTACAACTTTTCACCGCCGATCGAGTTAGCATCACCATATGATGAAGTTTTTAATTAAATTGCCTGGCTCATCAAACTAATGACCTCAAAGAGACTGAACTTGGGAGGATGTTCCACTAGTCAAGCTTATAAGAAGACCCAAAATTTCTGCCGTAAAGAACGAGTAACAGAAGTGTGGCATAGCTTTCATTGCACGTATTTGTACTTCATTTTCAGCACGATTGCGCAACAGCATCTGTGAAATCAGCTCAGTGTCAATAAAATATTCACATGCTTTTCCCTAATTAGGCAACAGATAAATCAGAAATGATCTTAAAGCATGCCGTGTAAATGCATGACGGCTGTTCGTAGAGGAACGCTGATGAAGTATTTGTGCAAACCTCCATGAACAAAGAGACGTCTCATGCTATTCTTGCAGGTTAATTTATTGGTCTGAGCGCCTTCAGTGGTTTCATTTTTTGCCGTACATAGACCCGGTCGCCTGTGTAAAATCGTTTTAACTGTTAGTATTAGTAAGTTGAGTTGATTTATGATGAACAGCAGAGACCAACCTAAAATTTGCCTTTACCTAAATCAGAGTGGACTAGTTAATCACCTCTGGAAGCAACTTTTAAAAAAGCAAATCAGTTTTTGCACACCTCGATTAATTTACTGTTTAATCCACAGAGACGGTCAGGGCACCGTTTCCTGGAGGTCACATAGCAACAGCTCTTATCCCAGGAAAACTTCATAGAATACTTGTGTCAGGGAAACCTTCGATCGAAATACAGATTTAGGGATGGTTCAGAATCGTGTGACTGGAGTACCCCACTACGCAGTGATCAATGTGGCCCTTCCGTGCTTCATTCACACACATGACATTTCCCAAAGCTGTGTTCAAAACAAGCTTATTAATGTTCCTCCAGGAAGGCACCCATTTTCTCAAGTTGCAGCACAGAACAAAATGGTTTTACGCGGTGACATAGCAGCAAATTTTCCCCATCGAACCAGAGTCTCTTGTGGGGCTTTTTGTTTAAGCACCCCTTCAGCCTGTTTTGCACAATAGTTAGACCACAATTGGGCAGGCCTTGGACCACGTCCTTAGGCGTGGCCTGGAAAAATACCGGGTGTGTACTGGATTCATCGGCCAGTTCTTTTGGTAACAAGCCAGTACGTTCGTGATGGACTTGAGTGGCCGTGGCCGGACAAAATCGCGCGTTGGACGTGAACAGGCACAAGACACCATAGCAACTAAACCATAGGATGACGTGCGAACACTGATGTTGGGACACTAGACACCGCAACGGGAAATACCATAGTCAAATGAGATGAGTTAATAAGAGGCTACAGAATAGAAGGCTTGTAAGAAATAAAAAACGTGCAAGAGTTCCTCAGTGTTATTGAATTGTTGTATATTAAATTGATTATTGAATTGTTATTTGAATACATTACTTGATCATTTTACTTGAAGACCAGCTGCTAAAACAGACACCAATCTAGACTACAAATATTCTGGTCATCTAGAGTCCATTAGCTCGGGTGGATAGCGGAACTGGTCGAGATTTCTACGTATTCGGCCTCATTTCATTTCTTTGTCGACATCATTACCTACTGTTGGTTTTGAGTTTGATAAAACAGGTGGCTTTACGACGCGTTGGTGTGAAGTTAAGTCGCTCGATGCGACAGCGCAAAATAACCTGTGTTTAAATGATAGATTGCAGTATATGTACGTGTATTAACGGTTTTATTTTACGACTGCACTTTGATTGTGTCACGAGATAGACCCAGATGATCTGTAAACCATTCACGTGAAGCACAGTCACATATCACATCAAATCCCAACAAACATTCAAACAAGCCTCATACGTATACCACCTGTTAGCTACAGGTGGACCTTTTAGGGAAATGCACTCACATATGCTTCTCAAAATGAATAGTAAGACGGTCGCATTGGCTTTTCACCGTAAGTTAGCCGTAATTTTTGTAATCAAGCTGAACTAAAATGCTCCCATTGGTTTTTTGTACCAGTCACCCGATGAAGTTTCTCCTGCTCCACGTAATTACGGATGGCCTACTCCTCACTCAGAGCAGTTCTATACAAGACTGACCCAGAACGGTATCGAGGCATCAAAGTCGCAGTCTCTCACACGACCTAAGGGGAAGACCAGATCTCCTTCGCGGTGGAAGACGGAAAACAGCCGGTATGGTGAACATACCTTGATGGACAGAAGTCACACAAAGGAGTCTAAAGTTCGGGTAGGTAGAGGTTTGAGAAAAAAACAATGCCTGAGATTTGTCTTAAAATTTCTGGTAAGTTTCAAAGATAGTCTAGAGAATAATTCATCATTTGAATGCAACCAATCTTTTTTCATGGTCATCTGTCATTCAAAAATGCATTTTACTCACGAAATCAACATAAAAGCACGAGAATAAAACAGTTCTCCTATATGAACGGTCATCCCACTAGGCTTGCTTGCGAAATGTGGTTAGGGAATATGCAATGTTTCACTGCAAACTTCTCGTCACCGGTCAGAATCAAATATTCAGTGAGTATCCGGCGATTCAAATTGCGCAATAGATGCGATACTGACCGACGGTTTACCGGCTGCAATCGTGACAAACTTTCTCACATTGTGTCAGTTTTTTCATTATATTCTTTTGCGTTGCTAAGTGGACTTTTGGAAGATTTTCGTCAGGCGTAGGTTTTTATGCTCCACATATATTGCACCGAAATTTTGGCCCATTTCCTCGTTTGTGTTCTCTCCCTATTTTGGATAATTGTAGTATCCTTTGCTTCCTACCTCTCAGTCACGAAGAAAAGTTGTCAAAGAGACCAGCAAACCCTCATCCACTGCGGAAAAACCCGAACTCCTGAGGAAAGCACAAAGTAGCATAAATTTTGGTGAAAGGTAAGCACAAAACACAAAATGGCAAAAAGGATGTGTGGTAAACTAGGCTAACTCGTTTTCGGTTCTGACTTTACTGCCGGTTAGACTGACTCATTGGTTCTAGTGAGTATACTATCGAATTTCGTCTTTTATGGCGGATACGCTGAGGAAATTGAGACAGTGACCCAAGTTTGACCTGTTATTGACCTAATCCATCTATGTGGTCATCTAAGTCATTTCCACTGTGTGAAAAGTTACGCGCGGCAGGCCAGATATTATCTTGCATGCTACTCATGCACACCGGCTCAGAGAAAAACTGGCGTGTTTGTAATCGCCATGCAGGCGTGTCTCGAAAGACACTCATTTTCGGGGCGTTAAAGGGCATGTTGAGACGTACATGTGGCACTCGAAACTGTGTTGAAAGCAATCGGACGGAGACATATACGACTTTCGAAATATCATATTATTGATCCCTGAGGCGAAATTCCTAATTCTTCTCACCAGATCCATCCGCACTGCGAATTTACATCACTGCGTCCGCTTCCATGATATTTGAGTCACCTACCGCCTTCTAATAATTCACTTTTGTGGATTGTGGCAGGTAACCTAATTCCGTAGGCCTATCTCGTCAAAGCTGAAAATTCGCCTAAACAAGCTAGTTGTTTGTAATGTAGTGCTCATAAGGTTGCTGAAATTCCGTCGACAGCCGACGACCGGTTTCGCTCTTTTTGGGGCTCATCATCTAGGCGCGTTCCCCGAGTTTCCGTCAACCCTATGCTCTACTTGAAACCAAATTGCACGAAATTAGCGAATATACACTCATTTGCAAACTAATTTGTTTTTTCGAGAGACTCACCTGGAACCCAGCTGAATCTCTCGTTTTTGATGTTTTCAGGCAACTGAGTGTGCTGCACTAGGCCACCTCATGTTTCAGTTGGTACGATATTCGAGATATCGCGATACATGTAGATCTTTGTAATGTACTACTCAAAAGGTTGCCGAAAATCCGTCGACAGCCCACGACCGGAGTCATTCGAAAAACCAAATTAGTTTGCAAATGAGTATATATTCGCTAAGGTAGTTGTTTGCTAATCCAAGGGACGTCGGTTCTTAGCCACTACACACATTACCACAATACGGTTTACTGTCTTGTGGTTCGCATTGTAGTCACGTGCCTTGCTATCGTTGTACGCACATCAGTCCTTTGAAAGAAATTTCTGAAGGAGGAGCATTTCTAGTGAGCAGTTCACAATACCCTACAAATGGTGTGATAACTAAATTGAGGAATATGGACCAAGAAATACCTTCTCCTTGGGGCTTCCAATATAAACCGAACGCGACCACTCTTCCTGAAGTTTGGAGTCCGAATAGTTTGTCAAGCATTCTAGAATACTGCGAAGAAGCTAACAATATCCGACGCGTAACTGAACCACACTGGACGCATTTAGCGTACAAGCTTTATGATAATGTAGATGAGTTGAATGACGCTACAGAACGCTCAAATGCACTGTAGTAGTCGGAGACAAAAAAAACGCTTGTTAGATATGTGCGGCGGTAGGCGAGTCTGATATCTTGGTGAGTGTTTCTTGATATGTGTGTTTCCATCATTTTAATAAATAACTCATCCTACAATCAATTTCAATGCTGAATTTACCTTTCAGGTCGGAAAAATTATCTAGATCTTCGGGCAAAAAGCCGCATCCCACAGTTCTGGTTACAAAGCTCAGACAGCGCTGCCAGTCCATTGGTCGCGAACTGGACCGCCTGGCAGAGTAAGTTTTGAAACCTAGGATGGACGTTACTATTCGTCATAATAATCCCAGATAGTATGGACGTGCCTGGGTATGAAGTCCGCTACGTACTCTTCATACAATGGACCTTGAAGGTCAGTGATTTGGTACCCCGGCTTCATCAATTTTGACCCTGACTAGCATTACCATTTATTGGAGAAATGGGATTCAGAGCCTTTTTGCATTGTTCACAGAGAATTACTTTCGCATTTCTAGAGGACTTGTCATCATTTGAGGTCCAGGGCATTTTAAATCAGGCAGAATCGTGTTAGCAGAGATAGAATCTGAAGTGGGCCATTTCGGGAATAACAACAAGTCCCTAATCGAGTGAGGAGGAACACACAAACTGAGAATTCATTATCGAACATGGCCTCGAAAATGGCCACAATTACAAGACGGGTAAAGTTTTCTGCCTCAAACAAATGTACGTTGAATAGTACAGTTAAATAATGTGCGAAAAGGCAGAAAATACTCAGTTGAGCGGACCAGTGACCGTGATTGGAACGTTAACCACAAAGAGTACGTGGTTTCAGACTCAGGATCAACTGGATAATGCCTGGGCAGAAAACAGAGACTTCCTCCTATTTGCTATAAAGTGTCGACTTTTATGGTTACTGGTTTCGTCCGATAAACTGCAAGCACCTTTTACATCCTAGTATTCAGCGCTTAAAACTCTATGCACAATCCTGCTTAAAGAGATACCGATCAGCTTTCAGAAGTTAAGGTTTACACTCAAACCGAAGCTGTTTCCTACTTTGATACAAGAAATATGCATGAATTCCTCACCGCGAGAAATAAGTGAAACTCAGTGGCTGAATTGCATAGCTCTGCATTACTGAGTGCAGGTGAACGAAATCTGTCGGAGTTATTATTTTGCACGCTGAGGAAGGTTCTAAGTTGTGGATTAGTGTGATATTGCGGAGTTTTGCGGAGAACCATGAATTATGCAATAACGACATGTAGATGATGACTACAACAGTGCAGCGAAGATCTAAACTGAACTGATAGAGTCGTGGTACAGTGCGGTTTATATTTATTTTTTCTGCCACTAGAGTTACACATTTCAAAAAATCTCTCAGGGTATTTCCTTTATCAAAGGGTTACTTTGGCTCCGCTGCACCGACCGTTGTTTATTAGCTGTATTAGCGTCTGGTAAATCAACAGGCGTGGCACTATCCAAGCTAAACCATTATGAGGTATTGGCTCCTTTTCGCATCCCCAAAATGTACTTTAAACATTGCGGATTTACGTATTAGTGAAATGGATGCACTGTCTACAGATAGCAAGTAGTTTTCTTTGAGTCCGAGGTTGGTAGATTGGTATTTGCAGAATGGAAAGACTATGGGTGTTTTCTGAGTGACGAATTTACGTGGCAGTAGGGCACGTCGGTTACGCTTAAGAACCAAACAGTCCGTTCAGATCTTTTTAAATAAATGAAGTGTTTCTTAACGTAATGAATATTTTCCTTCTTGAAGATAGCTTGGTTTCCACTTGTAAAATGAAATCTCTACAAAAGTGATCTCTGAGTGTTCCTGATCTTTTTTACCGCATGCTTCCTCAAAATGGACTTTGGATTATTTAGACCAAGTTAGTCGTATTGGACAGAAGGCCGCAGTACAGAGTAAAACACAGCTAAAACCCTTCGATTGCTGTGAACATTCATGGGCAGTACCTACATCAAAACTGGTTTCTAACTGTCCAAAATATAACCTGAACAGAAAATAAAATTACAGGGATGGATGTTTTGAATAAGTGTTCTCGGATCTTTTAGACCCTTGAAGCAAATGGAACGAAACCCTGTGCCTACAGGGTGGGCCGCGTAGCCTTGACAATTCATATATACCAGCGAGGTGCATTAAATAGGCTATGAGAATTCCACCACCTTAGAAATGCTTTTCGTTGTTTTTCTTCAGGTCCAGAAGGCAAGTTGATCGTTTTGTTCCAACAGATTCTGACGAAACGATGGAATCACTGACGGCCGCAAACCAGGCTCTGCATGACCGTCTCAATGAGTTGCAGGCATTGCAGCTGGAGCGCGAGAAGACACTGAAGAAAGCCCGGGTTATGGTGGAAGACCTGATAACAGAGGTACGTTGAACAGGCGTTAAGAAACATGGAATCCCTCTTTGTTCCGAATAAAACATGTCAGGTTAGTGTGTTTGCGTTTGTCTTGCTTCCCTTCAATTTCCGCCAACAAAAATCGGCCACTTCGATTCATTCACCGGTAACATCATCCGCTCATCTTTATTCAGCTGTGAGCTAAAGTGCTGACTAAGTTATCTATGAATCCTTTGAAAACGTCTTTAACTTGTGAGACGCAACTTTGGGTTTGAGATACTTAAAAGTTAAAAGTATCTCTTGTTCCAATATTTTAAGGAGTGGAAATCTTTTGCGTTATTCTCAAATACCACACCAACGGTCTCTTTGGGAGACAAGTTTCATCAGTCAGGATAATCAGATGAGGAAGTCCACCGGCGGGAATTTGCACACATTTGGTAGTTTTATTGTCCCTTCATACCATAGTTTAAATTAAATCGTAAATTCTGAGTGTTTTTTGTAAATGACCTGTTTTTTGTAATTGTTAGTTCAAAACAAGGGTTACGCACCATCCATTTCATTTAGTTACACACAGAAACCAGAATACAACTCTATCCCCAAAGAGTTTATGAAATTCTTATTCGAGGATTGCTTTTCTGCTGGTACTCTCTTAGATCTTCAGGATGCAAGGTTTTTACAGGTTGCTTTGTAATACAGTTTTTTCATCCGCCTCGACTCCAGGTGACCACGTCTTGTCATTTGTGAGTAGATACATATTCCCATCACTAACGCGAGGACGATTTCCTAACTTTCAGAACATAATTGCTATCCTAGTCTGGATAAATCACCTACCTTTCTGAATGGTAATAGCAAAGAATGCTTAGCTAACAGTTTTAGGCCATTCTACTCCAGAAAAATGCTCATCAATATAAAGGAAAATGCTTTATGACAGTGTTATATATATATATATATATGTATGTATCAGGAGTTACACTACACGGGCACTGAACCTGACCACCTGACCTCTGAAGCATCAGTCGTATGAGATTAGAAACTTAAACAAACGTTATTTTGGCATTAAGTTTAACAACAGATCACAAATATTTAAGTGGGATTGAGTAAAATGCACAACAAGTCTCTTCCGTCTAGAATGAGTGATATGATCGACAACTGAACAGAATATTGCGATCCAAAACGCAGCTGAATGCTCCATGGGTTACGCCTGCTCAAGTCATTAGTTGACATTTCTCTGCTGTCACAGATACGATGCGAAATTTCCGAAACTTTGAGCTGCTAGACTTTGATGAAACTCAGCGACTAATATACAGACGTTTATGTCTCTCCTTCTTTATCTGATTGAATTTTTCTTACACGCCTGCGATCCACAAAGACTGTCTCAATAAGGGACTAAATAGACGCTAACGAGATCACGTGAACCTTTTAACTCAATCATCTCACCTCTGTAAACCGTAACCCGTCCCTTAACTGGGCTGTAGCTCTGATAACGATCAGCTGATACCTTACCAAAAAAGGTGTGTATTTGACAAAGTGAAAGTAAACTGATTTCAGTACCCTCCAACGTGATATCAAATGGATAAAAGCGATTCCATCCTATCTTAGTCCAAACATTGAGTTTGGTCTGGTAAACCATTCCGTTTGGACTATAAAAATCATAGTCATTCTGTTACGAAGTGAACTGGAGTGCTTCGTAATATCTTGTATTTTTTGTTGAATATGTATATATATATATAATATATGTCAAACAGTAAATTGGATTACTTCGCGGTTTACGTTGTGCCTCTCACAGAGAACAGATGGATTTCGATGTGATAGATGAGTCGTAAAAATTGTTTCCTTCTTTGTGAGACGAACGTTTCCAGTAAAGAAATAGTACATAAGGTGTCATTGTATTAAATCTGTATTTTTTTTGAATATGTATATATATATATAATATATGTCAAACAGTAAATTGGATTACTTCGCGGTTTACGTTGTGCCTCTCACAGAGAACAGATGGATTTCGATGTGATAGATGAGTCGTAAAAATTGTTTCCTTCTTTGTGAGACGAACGTTTCCAGTAAAGAAATAGTACATAAGGTGTCATTGTATTAAATCGAGTATAGAACTAAGTTTTGGATTCAGGTAAACGATGCATTTAGACGCAACCTCAAACGTGACATGGCTTTGAATACAGTTTGTAGATGAAGGTACCTCAGCGTGCGTAAGCTCATTGGTTTAATTAGCCAAGAATAAATATCGATTTTCGGACTTGGCACTTCGGATGACTTGGAAATAGTACACTTGGCTTTGAAACATTTACTGAATAGCTGTAAACCAGAAGCCACCCAATGAGGGGTTTTGCAGACAGGTTAGAAGTACCATGGATCTGACCGCGAAAGAGCAGGTAAAGAGAGGTTATCAGATGTCTTTAACTTCGGAAAACAACAAAAGCAACGAAAGTAAATCAGACCGAGCAAGTCCCACACCCGCTAGCGGGAGCCTCGCGAGACGTAAAGCTGTCAAGAATAGCATACCACAGCAGCAAATTTAGTTTACCATCTTACTTTAGGACACAACTAGTAGAGTTAGCGACGTGGGAACAAACTCAACTAAACTGTTACCATCTGAAACCTCTATCTCTCTTGAATTTTGAAGGAGGGGTCGGCCATACTTTGGGCAGCTTGCTGTAGGGTTTTTTAAGGTATTCGTAATTTATCTCGGCGAGTCACCATATAGACTTTATAGGTCCTTTCAGTAGGACCTAACTTGTTCTTTAGGCAACATTTGAGCCGTCTTTTTAGCCTCACAGTAGCTCACGCCCATCAACAAATACAGTAAGTTTTGTCATGCAACTACAGCTAACAGTTATCAAATCTGTTCAAAAAGCCACCAGCTTGCCAGCCTCATTACCTGAACACAGAAATATTGGCGGAAACTTTGTCTATTTGAGATCACTCCAGTATTCATTCTCGCTTTCAAAGTTGAGTACCTGGTTTGCAATATATGGTTTGCCTTGGGATTAGGAAATAACCATGGGAAAGCAGTACCTGTTGACTCTGGGAATAAGAATCGATTGTGCTTTGCCACTGTTTGGTTTCACTATATGATGCATCGGTTTGCGTATCTCACCGCAGGTGCTTAGTTATGCTCAAGGTTTTTTCTGGTCTGCTGTGTGCTGTCTAATCGATGCGGCCCAGAAATCACTCTTGGGACCAAGTATTTCAGACTGGCACAATCCGACCAAGAATCAGCTGATCATGACTGTTAGACTTCGATTCTATCTGGGTCAAGTCATCTTAACTAGATAAAACACCTGTGAACTTAGTCAGTACGTGATTGTCACTGACCATTAGGTTAGCGGTACATTTGGGTTCATTACTTTTTCATGTCAGTTTAGCAAAGAGTTCCCTCGAATCGATAACTCCAACTCTACCCTACTCTACTCTACTCTGCTCTACTCTACTTTGCAGCAAACTGTCTAGATTCGTTATTTTAACACTCATGTTTTGGTAATGCAACACACTAAAAAGCGAAACCCACACCGGAATTTTCATTCATGTGTCGGAAAATTCTTGCAATATATCACCTGTTTAATTATCAAACCGTGCGTCAAGATAGTTTAAAGCTCATATACCGCATACTCTTTCACTGACCCCTTAAACGTACTCATTGGAATAACTAGTGTTAGTCGGTTGAAGCAATATTTAGTCGAAGCATGACATAATTTCTCGTTCGAATCGCATATGGAAATTCATATCTAGTAGCTCTCGAATGCCAAACATTCCATTTTCCTAACCTAACCCTACCAGAGGCAACACATTATTTGGGCTTAGCCGATTTAACCTCTCTCCCGATGGTTATCCTAAAAGAAGCTTAGAGAGATAGGAGGAGTTTCCACTGACACAGCAGTTGATTGGTCTCTCCTTGTTAGCGGAGCTTACCACAGTTGTTCCTTCAAACGACTATTCTGTCAGCGCGCTCTATGTCACTACAAGTGCGAGTGTGCCTCTTTCCATAGACGAAAAAATTCGTCCAGGATAGGGTATGTTGGCTTGAAGCTTCTGATATGAGTGAGTTCAACAACCGGAGCAAAAACTCATGAATACCTAGCGCACGCCTATGTGGCGTCATAATGGACAGTAAATTTTTTTTACTGGTCGACTGGAAAGCTTGTGGTGAGCCATTCTGAGGAGTTGATCCCCTTCGAAAAAATACTAATTACAGGACGGGGGCACAGGTCTTTATAAACATTGTGGGCCTCACAAATCTCAGCAGAAATTCATACTACATATATGACGTATAATAGTTGGATGCCATAAGTTCGGGGCCTTAATACACTTGTTTTGGTCGTGTACATTCAAGTCGAGTCGACTGACTTGGATCGTATCACCGTCTGATGAATGGAATGAAATGAGCCACCAGGGATAAATGGATATATATGATTTATAAGATACAGAATTTATTGAACCTAGCACACATTTATTATATTTCGTGATTTTTATGGGTTCACTAGATAGCAACAGTATAGACAGCTAAAATTTTCTTTCACCTGCATGCAAGTTATTCGGCGGGTAATTCGTGCGACAACTTAAGGACTTTGTGTTAATTTCGACATGTAAATAAGCTTTAGGTTCAGTTAAGATCCCATTTGTTACCTGCGTAACCTAGTATTCTTTAGAACAACGTTGCAGGCAATCCACCAGTTGGAGCGGTCTTAGGTTTGATAAAACAATGAGCACATTCAATTGAATTATTATATGCGTCATTAGACGATTGAGGGGATTACACCTGCGTCTGAGTGAGTTTCGGTCTCGGCCGGTTGTCTTACGAAAGATTTCAAACTGTCTCTTCAAGACGGACCAAATAGTTCGAGCCTCGAAATTCACGGTCATGGGGTTAGTATTCCTTCTCTGGTTACGGCACCATGCGCAAGCGGCCATGGTTTTGTGGCGAACAAAATGTTGTAAAACAGAAACCACGTTAGCGCAAAAGTGAAAACTCCATTTGTATCATCCTCCAGAGAACATCTTTAAAACCGAGACGCGTTCATATATAAATGTTACAACAAAATTTTGGTTGCTGGTGAATTATTTTGAGAGTTAAAAGGCTAGTGAATTATTCATCAATCGAACGATGCGGGTTAATTGGAGACTGACCTAGCCTGTTCGGTGGGATCAACAGAACCAGCACCTAAAACGTTAAAGAAAACCCTGCTTGAAGGTCCAAATTTCCATCGTTAATTGTATGAGCGTCATTTTCGCTCAAAAAAGGAGACGTTAAATTCACTGAGGCTCAGTATACCACTAGTCAACATTACATAAAACTTTCCCATGCCTCTCTCTGGTTTCTAAAACACAAGATATGCAAGACATATAATCTTACTCCTTGTTACTACGAAATTACTGTGTGTGCATTCATTTGAATACGAAATCAGTTAAGTGACTGGCACACCGCTTAATGCTTCACTGATCAGTTATACTGCAACATTAGGTGTTCACAGAGACATTGTAGCTTCTCGTGAACTTTCGGAGTAAAGCCGGTGGTGAACCACTCAGGCACGGAATTCATCGCTCTTTATAGGGTATATTGCGCGTTTCGTTTTGTTCGCGGCCGAGAATATCCGTATTTTTCCGCTACCGAGGTATGTCTGATGGCACGAATTTCATCCACGCCTACTGGCGCTACGTGATCTATGCAAACCACTTGATGGCTGGCGCGGTGGCTGATTCTGATCAGAACAACTTTAGATTATCCTGGTTTGTCGCCAAAAAGTGAACCATTGTTCCGTTGTACAAAATTCTTAGCAAACGCCTGATACGAATTTTTTAACGCCTAATATGATGGTTGTAAATGGTCTACAATGCCGTGGTCACTGGTCCCGGATGTCTTAGTGCCCTAGTTCACTTGTTTTTGGAGAACTGGACTTGGACAGATTTTACAGTGTGACTACTATGAAATACTTTGGAAGGCTAGGGTTTCTGATGCAGCAAATTCCAAGCGTTCCAGAGGAATTACAAAACACAGTAAAAAAAATTCAGGGTAGTTCACGGCAAAGCTGAGTTAGTTATCGTCACAACGCTTATTCAAAACTGAAGTAGTTGTGTTTAGGAAGAACCCTATCCATACCCATAAGACCTCTATTATAGTAGTTTGATCACGGACGTAACGAGTTTATTTGGAAGTATAATACCCCCCCCAACTAGGTTGTCTTCTCGATTAAGACCATGAACTATGGCTCGGCTTGAGACTATCCAACTTTAAAAAGACCACCACAGATTTTCCAGAGAATTACTTTTTCCGTCAGCAAAAAATACGAGCCAAAAATATTCACAACGTAACCAAATAAGAACATAACATAATTTTGGACTTGGATGGTTATTCAGAAGCCGATTTTTAGTCGAAACAAGCCTAAATATAGTAGCGATTCCTCAGAACTAGATATACTTTTATGGGTATCATAATAACTTCACCGAGATGTGGGCGACACACACTATTAGTTGCTCTCAAGGTCGGAATGGGGCCGAAGATACTCTCAACTAAGACTTGTTGGTACGCTCCTCGTGAGTGGTCTTAGTTCGAGAGACTTGCGCATCTGGTATAAGGTGTGGGTGAATGACCCAGTGGCTTTCATCTCTGTCTCGTATGCGTGAAGCAAAGGCCAATGAGAATTCCGATAATACTCTACTGCTACCGAGGTTGCATCTAAATCCTGCACCCAAGAACATACAGACCGGTAGATATCTGCATCCTTAATTAAATGCCCGTTTGGAGCTCTTGTCCTTATCTGTGTGCACAAATGAGTGATGACGTGTTCTCGACCTTTTCATAAGTGACGATAGCCTGAGTGGGGTTGAAAACCCTCATGAATCGGTCGCCTAACTTTCCATGTCAATACCGAAACATCGCCCATAAAAAAAACCACCCGGCGTTTTGTGGACTATCCGTTAACGATGAACATCGGCTATTTTGGTAAAAAGTGGTGAACACCAGACACCTAGCCCTGGATAAGCCATATGCACCGCATCAACCCTATTCAAACAGATTACGTTTAATAGAGTCAACAAGTAACAGGGGAGCCATCGTGGAAAATTTGCCCATTAATCAGGTCAGTAAGTCGCAATCCAGATGAAGGTGAGGTCACCGATACAGAGTGTGCATGAATTTTTTGCGTCCGTTGGTCTGTCCCACACAGTTCTGGGGAGTTATTTGTCGGCTGTGTACAACGAAGCTGCAGACCAGCCGGATATATGCAAAAGTAAGAAAATCGATATCTACTAGGACGTCTGAATGCCTATGTCAACGAAATTCCTCTTTCATCCTTTTGCTTACATTTGCCTATACAGCAAACAGCGCACGCGGAATCGATTCGACACAATGTACCAAGTGATTCCCACGCTTCATCCGACTCATTGAGCCCTCTAGCATACGATCAGGAGATTCCTTACAAGCCAAGAAAGTATTGTTCCACAGAGAGGCGAAAAGACAGTGAAGTTTTATTTCGGTCTCGTGGCCTAAGACAACCCAGCTATGACAGGACAAATGAACAATATAAATCCTATACCTATGATTTTGGGGAAGCTCAACGGTATGAGCGATCGGGAAAAATTGGTGAGCGAGCCAACAGCACTCAAAGGATTTTGGAGCGCTTGAGAGAAGACTTTGCCTACCTGTCGCGTAATGTGACACAGATTGAAGCAAAGGCGAGGGATGCCGCACAAGCAGTTAATAAGTTGATGCAGCAGACCCGTTACCTGGATGACGACCAGTGTATTGGTCCTTCCGAAAAATGTGAACACACGCTGGTGAGTTTTAAAACTACTGAACACCTGTTGCTTTATGGGCCGAGCCTAGTAACAAAAAACTAAAAGATTTGTTTTAGGGCTCACAGAGGTCTGCTTAGTGAATCTCTTGTGATGATGATTTTTTCTTAAAGAAAGGCAGTTTTCATCATTTCTGAATTCATTCTGAAAACACCAACACTGCTCTGTTTTTAAACCACTCAATATAGGTGCATACTTAGTTCAAATTACGTTTCGCAGAATTAGACGAAGTAATTTAGTGTGAGACGACAATGTAGTTAGTAGTGGCTTGTAAGATCACCCGTCCAGTTCGCGGCATTCGGTGATGCAAGCAGTCGATGGCGCGACTGGCCTTTGCTTTCGTTCATTAGGCATTTACGGTTGAATTGAGAACTGGTGTGTCATTGAACTCCTGTTAGTATTATTTCAGTAGGACCACAAACACACCATAATCTTCTGCAAGCAATGTTAGCATGGGTTCTAATAAATGTATTTGTTCTCCTGGTTGCCCACTCTTTTAACTACAGAGGTGTCTTTCGTCACAAATGGATCTCAGTCCGCGAATTTCAGACAGCTTCACGAGATCCAGGTGCGTTATTTTTTTACACTGTGATACTGGATTTACCAAACATTAGAACCCTAACCCAGCCGCTGACAAAAACTTTTAAAAGTGTAACTTCTTTGCTCCTATGAGAACGTAGAAAGACGTGAATGGTTCCCTTTTAAGCTATCTAATTCCTAAATCAGGCATGACATCAAAGGTATCAGCTGAGAATTTTGAGATTAATAAGGCTGAATGTACTGCAAGATGACCGTCTCGTGTAACGGTCGGTTAGGTCTTCGAGCTATCGCAGTATACTTCGTTGACCGTTAGGTTGCTGGAAGTTCTTTCACAGCACATGACTGGTTCCGGCATTTATAAGCTTCATCAGGCAGCTGAACTCCATGAGTAATAATTGACGTTATGCGAAACTTAAACACCATATTGTATGCTATTGGCGAATTTTTCATCATCTCAGGAATGTTTTCTATCACTCGTTTGTTGGAAAGGATACGTTTGTAGAAAGTCCTTGTTTTGTTCGAACGGCTGCACATTTTGATTGCCAACATTTCATCACCAATCGGGGTTACTTCACCAGTGCGTTGTTTAGAAAGCGTAGTGGAGCATAGCGATGGATCGGTGGTTGTGCGCTGAGTAGTGTTGAGTATGCGTCATTATTCTAGCTAACCTCCGAGCATGATTAGTTGTTCGGTCGGGCGTTTTCATTGATTGTTTTGTTATCCTGTGTCCTGATTGATTGATGACCACGTGACCTTGGAGCTTGGCCTCGTCTGCCCTCTTACTCTAGCTGATGCTCGAGTGACCTCTTTCCTTGATTGCTCTGGGTTCTGGCTTGTGACCTTTGCTGATCCGATTCCAAATTGTTCCTTGTGCAACTGATATTCGACTCTGCCTGAATATTTCGGTTGAGATGTTGATCCTTCACACGTAGTCGTGCGCTAATCGGATCTAGTTCGATGCATTTATTGATTGAATCCACCGTGGAGTACCATGCCTCCATAAATTTCCTTCCATGTCTCATGCCGCCGTATGCCGAGAAATTATGCACACGAATAAAAGTGGAGCATATGGATCGGTGGTTGTGCGCTGAGTAGTGTTGAGTATGCGTCATTATTCTAGCTAACCTCCGAGCATGATTAGTTGTTCGGTCGGGCGTTTTCATTGATTGTTTTGTTATCCTGTGTCCTGATTGATTGATGACCACGTGACCTTGGAGCTTGGCCTCGTCTGCCCTCTTACTCTAGCTGATGCTCGAGTGACCTCTTTCCTTGATTGCTCTGGGTTCTGGCTTGTGACCTTTGCTGATCCGATTCCAAATTGTTCCTTGTGCAACTGATATTCGACTCTGCCTGAATATTTCGGTTGAGATGTTGATCCTTCACACGTAGTCGTGCGCTAATCGGATCTAGTTCGATGCATTTATTGATTGAATCCACCGTGGAGTACCATGCCTCCATAAATTTCCTTCCATGTCTCATGCCGCCGTATGCCGAGAAATTATGCACACGAATAAAGAAAAACGACGCGGCTGTCAGGAGGCATGACTCTCTGTCCTTGATATCCACACACGACGACTAAGAAGACCACAAAACTAAGTTACAAAACGCAAAAATTTTGGCTTTGGAACAAAAAACTTTCAGACCGTCATTGATCACGCTTACAGAATATCTGCTCTGAGACATCCAACCACTTAGTCATCCAAATAACTATGTTGTAACTACGCTAATAATATCTAGATGTTGATATATAATATACTACTGCTCTATGTTTTGCCCCGGTTCCCAGTGAATTTCGAATAGGATTTCTACACTGAAAAGCATGGCGTGACTGGCCAATCTGCAACTTTTCCAGTGCCTGCTCCGGTGGAAATTCAGTGAGAGTGCTTCTTCTCATCATGTTATTTTCCACGTTAAAGACTTTGTTCTCCGAGAACATAATTAATGGGGCTGAGGATCATTTATAGGGATCCACAGACACAAGAACTAGGGGGAATTCGAGTTATTTTGCCCACTAGATTAACCAAAAAGTGAACATCACATAGCGAGCATTGTATCTTTTCTGTCGTAACTAGTTATGAATCTTTTGACGTCACACTGATTATCTAAGGTTGCCGACTCACTGTCGTTTTCGCTCTCCCCGGTCTAATCGGGCAAGTATAGTCCACGAATTACCGTCAGAATTATTTCCCAAACGGAAACCAGACAACAAGTACCTGGGGTTATAATTTCATCTGAAAATTAGTTTGATGGTAACGGGAGACAGCTGATTATCAACTGAATCTCTCGTCATAACGTTGCACTGAGGCTACTAAGTTTCGCTTCCTAGCTACCTAACGCCCAACCTGAATAGGCAAAGAGCGGTCTGCCACACACCCTATCCCATGGCCTAGTGAAAGCGAAAAGCACAATGACCCAAAATTTGCCGTGGAATATTAAGCGCACATTTTATCAAGTATTACTTTAGACCTCTTCTTGAGTGTGACTATCTTGGCACGTGGTATTGTCTTTGTTTTGTGGCCAAAGCCCAAACAGGTCCATTAGTGGCACTGTAGGTATGGATGTACAAATGCACTTGCAACTCCTGTACAGGATTCGTGGTTATATTATAATGGAAGAGGTACTTAGTTTATCACCTTTGGTGTTTCGCTAGCTATTTGTAAGGAAAGTCTTCGCTTTTGGACGGACGTATTTCAGAGGAACACTTCCTTTGTCAAACCTCTCCCGCCAGTGCACGAAACATTCATGGGAGTATCCACAGTGTTTTTCTTCAAAACACAACAAACAACCTAATGAGACTTGTTTATATGAATTTGTGGCTCCGAGAGTGGTTCTCAAGATCTGTGTAACTGCTTCACGGAAGATTCCCAGATATTATACTGCTTATTGTCTATACGTGAAAGCATTTATGAATATTTAATGATCGTTACATTCTTCTGTCTGCCCAACTGATTCTGTTATAATTTATAACATCAGGACACTCCCGAGAAATCTTGATTCACTTAAACACACGCCGCTGCACGTGGAACATCAAAGCCAATACTGCAAAGGCAACAGACACCTGCCCTATCGACCGGTCGCCTGGGATTCTCGTGAATAGCGCTCTCCTATGTAGGTTTCGCAGCAAGTTTTTGAAATTACCACTTTTCAGCCCTTTGAACATTGCATAGAACATCTTGGACAGACAAAATCAGTACATCAGTAATGTTTCCATAGTCAAGCTATCCGAATAGCCCTAAAAAGGACGTACTCATTTACTGAGACACCTGGATGACTCTAAAAAGTTGTTAGGTCTCTGCAGGTGAGTGAAATGTGTATGCCTCCAGTATGCATCAGTATACCTAAAGTCCAGTATTTTTGGACTCCCCCAAGTGTGGAGACTGTCATGAGGATCGTCACACAAACAACGAAGCAATACTATTATAAAATTACGTCGGAATTGGCAGCTGATTGGACCATCCGTTCGGTGAACCTCAGTATTTTTATACATACCAGTAGGTACTCGGTTTCACAAATAGAAATCTAGTACTGTATGGAGAGGTGTGGAAAGTTATTACCAAATAATCTTGACTCAGACACTGAATTTTTCGACCTTATAAGGGAAGTGTTAACAGTCTAGTTTTCCATAATTTGCTGGTACGAATAAACTCGAAGTATTGGAACCTTTGAGCATATCAGGTTTCGACAGCAAGACTAATGAGCGTATGTGTAGTCCCTCTGGAATTGCCTCTTGGCATATCTAACAATGGTTCATTCATTTTTTGTATACTATAGTGCTTATGGTATTGATAAAATTCACTTACAATATCCATAGTGCTCATAACATCCACTTAACTCTGGTTGAGCTCATCTGGTACGCGTACTACTCGAATCTCCTCTGGTGCCTTGTCACCACGTGAACGGCAAACGCGGTGCATGAGGATAAAAATTTAATCTGAAGTTCAAGTTAGTGCTTATCTGGAAGTCAGTGATGTTCCTCAGACTCAGGCACACAGAAAAGGTGCAAATTCATGAACTGCGGTAATATTGAGGGCCAGATACTGTGTCACAGAATAACCCTTGATATTTTTTCTGTCGACGAAGTTCTCTCCAGGACGCCCTTTTTCTGCTCATTCATTTAAATAGCCTTATCGGCAAGCGATTTCTTTGAGTTTCACAATTACACTGAAGAAAAGTTTCACACAGCAGTAGTTTGTTCTTTATGTAGCACACCACGATTTTTCAGCAAAATGATATGTTTGCGTTTAAGTGAAGGTATGCTTCCTTCAAGTTCTCGTTTGCTTCTGCTTACACAACTGTCGGTAGTCAAGTATACTTCAGATTAAACCGTGGTACCTCGTCAAAAATAACTGGAACTTATAAATGAGACTTCATGTTGTGTCCTCACATCACAGTAGCATCGAAATTTCGTTCCTACTCTCGTGTTCAGTGCAATACAACCAAGACTAACAAGTAAATGATTCGCCGACCCTAGCTCACCTTGATTAAGTTGTCAAATCGAGCCATGCCGCCTCAATGTCAAACCAGCACAAACGTCTGTCCCGGGACTGGCCATCAAAAATGTTTATATTTCTTATATCCTGAGCATTATGTTCAGCAAATTCGGACTCATATTCAGGGAACAGGACACCAAAATCCTTCAGAAAGAGGAACAGATTACTATGTGTTTTTTACTTTGGAATGAGCCGTAAACTAAAGCAAAATATTCATGTTCCTACAGCCAGAAACACGGATAGTCGACGATAATCGTGTATTTTGAAGTGTTCCTTTTCTAAATTGGTAATCCGCTTAGTCTTATATTATCGTAGCCCCAGACCATCTGGTACCCAGAACCTGTACAATACAACGTTGAAAAATTGTATCCTATTCAGTTTTTTGGTGTCGGATTTCTCGAATTTTCAAAAGCATTTATGCACAAACACGCCTTATCTTTCATTTTTGCACACTCGCGTCGCTTACTCTGTTTTACTCTTTTTAGCCAATGGATGATAGCATTGCCAAGTCTGGAAATTTTCAAGCGTTTCGAACATCTTCCCATTATTCCTGATCCCCAGGACTCATCGGACCTTATTCCAGTCCTTGCCGACCAGTTTTTGACGATTTACTGCACTATGGATCTCGTGGTTCCAAAATTTTTGTGCCTCTTTCTATCTCGCAAAAATTGTTGTGATTTATGTATATCACTAGTTTTCCAATCACGTGCGCGATGATTTATTTAATAAACCAGATGGTTAAAAATGGTACTGATCTGAAAAATTTCAGCAAATCTCCCTGAAATCCCAAATAGTGTTAATTCCTCAAATATGGCAGCGTACACTAAACACCGCCTTGAATTCATCTGAGATTTAATTGGAGTGATAAGGGATATAATTTAATGTTAGTAGTGGCCTACAACGTAAGTTATCGTTTGAAAGTTTGCCCGTTACTTTTACCAGTAATGGCAAAAAACACTATCTATTAGCAGGAAGTTCTGTTAACTGCCATATAATCAGCGACGGTGTGACCCTTTTTAAATGAATCATGCTGGCAAATACTAAAAGTTACACATTGTATTATGCAGGCTGTAAACTGTAACTCACTGGTGACAGAGTAAATCAAGATCTTTGCTTACCATTTTTTATGTTTTCTCATTATAAGGCATCACGCATCCCGTGGACCAATAACTGCAAACAGTATGTTCAGTTGATATATTTCAAACCCATAAAGCCTCACTACAGTAGTACACAGGAAAACACATCTGAGTTTTTCTTGGACAGTGGTATACAATTTGTTGGACAAGTGCTATTGAGGCCAATCGCTTCCCATCACTTATATGAACTGAAAATTCGCATGTGATTTATCATGCCATGATTAAATGTCACAAATCCGAATCATCCTCAGTCAAGTCTTTACTTCTACACTGGTTTCAACAGAGTTTCCTATTTTCTAGCTTGATATCTATTTTGTAAGAGTCGGTTGAACTTTCTACCATATCTCTTCGACCGCTTAAATTGCGCGCTTACTTGACTGTCGAAATTGAGGGAATAAGGTCGGCGCGCAATCCATCATGCTTCTTGAGAATTTTCAGGCTGCCTTAGCTTGATGGCACAACAATGAATATTACCACCTTTTATGTCGAGGGAGACAGTTCTTCAATTAGGTATTCTGCAAATTTGGTGTGGGTATGGTTGCAAGGTATGGTTGTTTCAAAGACATTTACCTGGGCGTCCAAGGTCAACGTTTATCTTGCCAACTGGAGCGTTTGTTCAGTAGCAGCTGTCCAGTCTGTGGGAAAATTACTCCGGAAATATAAGAAATCTTCAGGAGGACCGTTAAGTTGTGTATAGGGTGTCTTGTCATAACCCCCGAATAAGTTCATAGAAGACATTTGGATTTCAAAGAATTTGTTTTTGACCAGAACGAGATGTTGCGGGACGAGTGCCTCCAGATTTACAAATAATGGGCAATTATCCGGATGAAGCAACATACGAACTTTGCTACGTGTCAGGTAAGAAACCTCTTGGGTTGTAAAAGCAAGGTCAGTTTCTCCACACCCATTTTTTTTCAATTTGAAAGTCACATTAGCCTCGGCAGGCTTACGATCGACGGTCAAGTCACCATACACTGTGCTTCCTAGGTTGCCGAAGTTCATGTGGTACTCCTAAATTCATTCCAGTCTTGACGAGCAGAGAAGCGTTTGGAACCCCACCCGGCCCAGGGTGCAGGTTGGTGCAGAACAAGTATCCTCTTTGCGGTGATGCCTAGGGAAAAATGTGTAGCACTAACCTCCATGCGCTAGAGTTCACCATGCAAAAGCGATCGTGCTTAAAAACGAGAATGCAAACCAGGCTCCTGGTACCAAAATGCCTACCATTGAATGGACGTCCAACTGGCTGAGATTTAAGCTAGCATCGTCGTTCATGTGAGCGAAACTCTTGAAATCCAATAAATAAGAAACGAAGGGAGCGGGAACATGGACCAGCCGCTGTTTCACCTTTGTGTCGACCCATTCGTTTCCACTCTTGGACTGACTCCATCATGTAGGTTGCAGCTGAGAAAAACTGCCTACAACACTTCTCAGCTGACGGATTCAGAGAACTTCATGAAGTCAATGAAGACCGTAGAGAGAAGGTGGAGATGTCCGCGGAACTTTTCTTGAAACCGTCGTAGCAAATATCAGGTCCATTGTGCTATGACAGTCACAGAATTCTCAGGCTTGTGCACTTTAACCGACACGAATATCAGGTGGCTGAGTAGCACATGCCAGTAGCTTACTCGCGCAGTTCAACAGACTGACACGTTTGAACTTTTCAGGTGAATACCTACATCTTTTTCCTTGATACAGTGGCACGATTACGGCCTCTGTGAATTCTAGTAGAACTTCCTGTTCCTACCAGATAGTGCTGACTAGCTGAAGGTGTGCATTCTCCAAAGTCGAACCAACGTACTTAAACGGTTCTTCTGCAAGCGTGCCTTCCCTAGCTGTCTTGGTGTCCAGCAGTTGTGTGTTCTTTTGGCATATCTCAGCAATAGTAGGGCGAAAGCCCGTGGGCAGTTTCGTCTATCCTCCGCAGTCTAGTAGACCCATGATGGATGGTTTAGCATTTTGCCAAACGCTTGGACCATATATCCAGTGTTTCTGCAAGTGATGTCTGATTCAGTTTCGTGTTAACATCTTTGGGGGTTTGTGTTTGTTTGCAGGCCGGTCCGTGCACGGTCTCCAGAGAATCAAAGAATAATTTTTGGTGCCTATAGAGGAGAATGTCGGTAGCTCAGGTAGCGTAGATGGTCGTTGGCTTGTTCGCTGAGCTGGGCAATTTGGTTGCAAACGTTTTATCACCAATCGAGGTGACATCATCAGTGCGTAGTTGTGCGTAGCGGTGGGTTAGTGGTTGTGCGTTCAGTAGTGTTGCGTGTGTGTTGATATACGTGCTGGTAGCCGGGGATGACCTTTGACCGCGCTTAGTTATTCTGTTAGAACAAGCCACCAGACGGGTAGTAAATGGGGATATTGGGTTCAGTCAGTTTGCAACCGACCGAAAGACGTGTCCGCCACACAAAAAGGCACATTTCAAATGAATATATGGCTCTGGGATCTAGTTCTCAAGATCTGATTTCCAGAATACTAACGTGCTAGAATGGAGTTTAATGCGCGCAGTAAGCGACGGACCGCCCGTGTAACAACCGGCAATCAATAAAGTGCCGCCAAAATTCGGCAGGTGATAATAAAACCGAATGAACGGATTAGGTGGACATATTAGTGTACACAAGAGTGTCTGTGTACGCGGTAATTTATGAGTGGATGTGAACCATGCGAGAAAACATGCAAATAGATAAGATAAATAAACCAGTGGTAGGAAAAGCTAATGAAAACGTTATTGTAAGCGGGTGCCACGAGTTAGTTGCCACATACGATCCCGAGCCTTAATGAGGAAGGTTTTACACAGTCAATCGATCATTTGCTTTTATGCTCCAGCCCGTCACTCCTTGTAATGATTGAAAGGACAGATTATTGATGATGATTAACTGGACAGGCGTCACGAAAAGCCTTCCATGTAATCCCGAGCCTTAATGAGGAAGGTTTTACACAGTCAATCGATCATTTGCTTTTATGCTCCAGCCCGTCACTCCTTGTAATGATTGAAAGGACAGATTATTGATGATGATTAACTGGACAGGCGTCACGAAAAGCCTTCCATGTAATCCCGAGCCTTAATGAGGAAGGTTTTACACAGTCAATCGATCATTTGCTTTTATGCTCCAGCCCGTCACTCCTTGTAATGATTGAAAGGACAGATTATTGATGATGATTAACTGGACAGGCGTCACGAAAAGCCTTCCATGTAATCCCGAGCCTTAATGAGGAAGGTTTTACACAGTCAATCGATCATTTGCTTTTATGCTCCAGCCCGTCACTCCTTGTAATGATTGAAAGGACAGATTATTGATGATGATTAACTGGACAGGCGTCACGAAAAGCCTTCCATGTAATCCCGAGCCTTAATGAGGAAGGTTTTACACAGTCAATCGATCATTTGCTTTTATGCTCCAGCCCGTCACTCCTTGTAATGATTGAAAGGACAGATTATTGATGATGATTAACTGGACAGGCGTCACGAAAAGCCTTCCATGTAATTCCACATTTGGTATGATTTTTGTACCGTACTTTCAGGTCAATACATGGATTAATGAATTTGGAGTTAACGGATCCACTTGACCCGTCGGCGCACACTCTTCAACCATTTTGATATTTGGTTAGAATCTATCATCATCATCATCATCATCATCATCATCATCATCATCATCATCATCATCATCATCATCGACAGCATGACATCAGTGTTCAACACCGATGCTTCACTGCCGTACAACCATGACTTATTTGAAAGCCTTATTGTAAAGAAAAAAATGAAGGTGGACGGGGGAGGGAACTAGTGCTAGCTTAACACAATCATCCCGAGGTGCCTACACCTCCAAACATTCACTCAAGCAATCTAGATAGAAACTGCTAACAAGAGCGCCACTGACATCGGTTGGCAGCCATATATTGTAATGTCTCCACCCGGGCACAGTAAGGATCACGCGGTCCCCATCCTGGAAGGCAAGTAGCACCGACAGCATCCAAGCGTTTCGTGATCTCCTTCATCCTCCTCTGCCAAGGCCACTTCTCTGTTTACGCCACTCTGAGTTGGGCATGGAAAACAGCACATAGAATCCACCTGGATTTTTAGAGAAACACACATTTTGGTGGTTAATTAGCTGCCTCAAATTCATCGCGATATGACACTACCAACACGATCTGTGATGTAGTTATTATGGGAAGTTCATAACCTTCCAATGTGACTCTGTGAAGCACGCTAACGTTACACAGGCTTCTACCCGTTTCTGGTAACAAGTAGGATTCGTAAGGCTGTGTGCGGGTCGTCCTATCATATGGATAAATATACTTGTATTTACATGCCTATTTGTTTGCCTCGTGGCAATGGATCCGAAGTCCATAGAATCGTAGTTCCAGTCAGTATAACGAAAGTCCAGGACTGGAGGCCAGGTATCCGAAGACCACCCAATCACTACAATAATAAATCAACCGAGACTATGCGTACGCCATGCGATTATCATCCATGCCACGCTCCGTCACACGTGATTGTTCCACATTTCGTGGACTTATTGTTTACTTTATATTTCACATGAAAATTCTGAACCGTCTAAACTACTAATCAGCACACTCAAAGTCCCTGTATGCCAGTATTGTCTCAACTATGTTTAGTCCAGTGAGAGCGCTGTGTACAGAGCAGATCGATCGAGCAGCAGCTCAAATCGAGATCGCAAAAAGACTTCGAGCAATAGGATACCCAGTGAGTTTTATTAGGCGGCAACTGAGAAAAATATTGGCTTCAGTATCTAGACCCCGTAAGGAATGGACCGAAACACCAGTCATCCCATATAACAAAAGAATATCAGAGGTTTTCAATCAATTGGAAATTGACAGCGGCACCCGAGGCGAATCATCAGGTGAAGCACTCTGAAGTGGAAGATTAAGGAACGGAAAGCGATCGGAACTAATTTGGAACCCTCCAACACATCGATTCAAGATTTTGGCACCCACACTAGCCGACAAGAGCCGTTAATTGACACTCAACACTGATTTAGTCTGAAGAGAACTTACTGATTGGTTCCCCGTCTGTCTTATAACCTGGCCAATTTTGTGACCTGTTCACTTGGCCTGATGAAGCTTTTGTGTCAAAAGCGAAACGTTGCCCAAATAAAAACTACCGATTGTTTACCAAGCTCTTCTGAAAATATCAGAGGTTATTCGAAGCTTCCCAGAAGGGAAAAACTCTATGTCTGGTCTTGGTGCAATTGAAAGATCCCCTCCCGGTTGAAAAGACTAGGGACTGTGTGCATAAAGTTTACTGCACCAATTGAATTAAGCTTCACATAGGACAACCTGCCAGGGAAATGCATGCCAGAATTGGTGAGCATAAAAGCAGAACGAAAAGCTACCAAGGGATGCGGAAGAATACCAAATGTTGGTCAAAGACTCAGCGATGGCTATACATGGCTGAGAAACGCGATACAGAATAGATCTGAAGAATGTGGAAGTTTCAAGACGCGGACTGCGGTTCGCCCCACAGCGGATGATAGACAAGGCGGTGGAAATCGACCAGCCGCACAGCGTCAACAGGATCGAGGGTGTGAAACTGGTAAGCGTATGGAGAGCGGTATTAGAGATAAACCCAGTTGACACGTGACTGCGTGGTTGTCAGCACGCTAAAACAGGAGGTGGAAGTCCCAACCCGACCAAAGTTCACAAAACCCCTCTCCCTAACATAACTATCACAGCACTTGCCCATCCACACAGACCAACGGAAAGTACTAACGACGTTCAACAGCGATCATCAACTGGACCGAACCGGAACAACCAGACCTCAGACTGGACCAAAATCCACATAGGTTTCCCATCGACCTAGCATTTGGTGACTCACACTAACAGCATAATCCCTCGGCCGACACCCAATAGAGATTCAGCTTGACCGAGCTGAATGGTCTTCATTCCGCCTTAAATCTCGACCAGTCTAGTAACCTAGTCACTTGGCCTGGCGATACTCTCGTGTCAAACGTTGTCTAGCAGTGAATCTACCGATGGTTGTCAAACGTCCCCGAAAGTAATAGATATTTACCCCAAGAGTCACTGGTCTGAGGTATCAGTAACTTACCATCGCCTTCGCCAAACACTGCTGTACTTTGGATCCAAGATTATCCACCAATCGTTTCGTGGCGATTTGGTTCCGTGAAATCTGAAATCGTAGTTTGTGCACTTGATAGTCCGTTAGATCCGATGACAGATATTTGTTTTTCATCCAGACCTTGTTTTTTCGTATGTGCATCAGTGTTCTCTCCCTGACGACTTTACACACAAAGGTATGCTCGACCATTTGCGAATGAAACTGCGTTACATCGTACAAGGTTGCAGCATGTTGCCCAAAGTTTGGTGCCGTTTGGTGTGTTAAGGGCTTGCGGTCGGGAAACCTAGACAGATCAATCGTACCAATCCAAATGGATGCATGGTCTCTCCCTGACGAATTTACACACAAATCTACCGACTGTTACCATACTTTACGGAAAACGATAGTGCTCTGTCTCTTCAAGGTGGGAGCGTTTCTGTTGCTGTATGACCAAACACAAGATGCGTTTCCGGTAAAAGTGAACGTAGCGTACCCTGACGTCAATCGTCATTGTGAATGAGGGGACAATTTAGTCTACAATGAAGGCTGGTTCTGTTGTCCACCACCCCAAACGTGAGCGGTGGATTCTGTTGAGAGATATTTCAAGATTATTTCGCTTCCCCTTGTGGACTTTAATATACGACAATATTTGTTTTTGGTTGGGTATGAATAGAAATTCTGATTAGATGTGAAACGTGCAAACAGGAAATGTATCCAACACTACCATTCATTCATCTAAGTAATTCAGTCGGTTTGCATCGAACCGAAAACCGAAACTCAAAAAGTCGGATTCTCAGTGGACTACTCTTTGAAGAAGCTGAATGTTATTCGTCCATATTCGCAAGTAAATCCCTAGCATTTTTAGTTCCCTCTCGCCAGTGTAGTTATTTGGAAACCTCTGTAGGGTTTTGTACACTTGAACTGAGGAAATCAACACATTAGAACAACAACAACACACACATAGAACTGTCTATCAAATGCGTTGGTTGTTAATCAGTTTGCAATCAAATTACCATCATTCCCAGTTCAATAGAATGCAATGATTGCCTGATGAATTATGCATAATGGAGAGCTTGTGCCTGAGCAGTTAGAGTCGTGTACTTTCCACCATACCGGAAACACCCAACTTGGAAGAAAACCCGCTCGTGATTATCAAATGTATTCTCGTACACATTAACGAACCTGAAATTCGATTGTATCGTGATACCTTGAATCAAGAGCAATTCACGTCTACGTTATCGACCCAACCACAGTATCGTCAGCACATGGCGCAAGTTTATACAACTTGCACATTGGTTGGTCGAACAATCATGGTTTTATATACATGTTCAAAACTTGTGGTGACCGTACTGGACAACTGTTTCTGTACGGCTAGCATTTGTTTTGATCTGGTTGAGCATGCTTGTAAACCTTGCGAAACCCGACCAATTCGTTCGTCCCACAAACAGAGTGCGAGAATGGTCACGAACGGCTAGTCCCAGCAATGGAGATTATTGCGTCAAACGCAGGGAGCGCCATTTGGGCTCGGAACCACATAAGCAGAGAACTCTGTCGGTTGATTGGATTCCTCCATCCGATTCAAAACAAAACCGACTATCTAATGGTATATTCTGTGAGTCTTTGAGTCATCCCAAGTCCAGCCGACTAATAAGCCACAGTTGTACGGATATCCCTGTTTTGTGGAAGGGGCGATGCCTGTCATCCAAACAATTTGCTGACAAAAGCGAACTCTATGGTTCTAGTCAGCCGGAAAGTCAAAGCTCAGCAAGCTGTTCTATTGGTGCCGACCATGACAGACCCGTAACCAAACAACGGCTGCCCAGGATCGTTAATGCAGTTCAAAATTTAGACAATCTTCAACATAATACGATTCCTGTCTGTGTTGAAACGGAAAGTTTGAGACAATTCTATGAGTCTCGATTTACAAGAGTTCTTGTGTCACCTGTTCCTGTCAGTCTGTACACTAAGCAGACTGAATCTGGTTTAGGTGTGAGTACAGACCATGCAGAATGGATTTGTGTAAAGCTCGGCTTGCTCACTTATCTTATTTGTCACGATCCAGTGAAACCGTCGGCTGTCAAGGCAGTAGACGTGCAGTTGTGTGACCCTTTCACCTATGCATCCATTTGGATTGGTACGATTGATCTGTCTAGGTTTCCCGACCGCAAGCCCTTAACACACCAAACGGCACCAAACTTTGGGCAACATGCTGCAACCTTGTACGATGTAACGCAGTTTCATTCGCAAATGGTCGAGCATACCTTTGTGTGTAAAGTCGTCAGGGAGAGAACACTGATGCACATACGAAAAAACAAGGTCTGGATGAAAAACAAATATCTGTCATCGGATCTAACGGACTATCAAGTGCACAAACTACGATTTCAGATTTCACGGAACCAAATCGCCACGAAACGATTGGTGGATAATCTTGGATCCAAAGTACAGCAGTGTTTGGCGAAGGCGATGGTAAGTTACTGATACCTCAGACCAGTGACTCTTGGGGTAAATATCTATTACTTTCGGGGACGTTTGACAACCATCGGTAGATTCACTGCTAGACAACGTTTGACACGAGAGTATCGCCAGGCCAAGTGACTAGGTTACTAGACTGGTCGAGATTTAAGGCGGAATGAAGACCATTCAGCTCGGTCAAGCTGAATCTCTATTGGGTGTCGGCCGAGGGATTATGCTGTTAGTGTGAGTCACCAAATGCTAGGTCGATGGGAAACCTATGTGGATTTTGGTCCAGTCTGAGGTCTGGTTGTTCCGGTTCGGTCCAGTTGATGATCGCTGTTGAACGTCGTTAGTACTTTCCGTTGGTCTGTGTGGATGGGCAAGTGCTGTGATAGTTATGTTAGGGAGAGGGGTTTTGTGAACTTTGGTCGGGTTGGGACTTCCACCTCCTGTTTTAGCGTGCTGACAACCACGCAGTCACGTGTCAACTGGGTTTATCTCTAATACCGCTCTCCATACGCTTACCAGCTTCACACCCTGGATTCTTTTGACGCTGTGAGGTTTGGTGATTTCAACTGCCTCGGCTATCGGTTGCTGTGGTGTGAACTGCAGCCCGTATCCTGAAAATTCCACATTCTTCATATCTACTCTAATCTCTCCTGCTAATGAGTGGTTTAAGATGGTTCCTGTGTCTGTTTGTTTCTGGTAGATCGTAGTTTTTCATTTTCCACCACTGGATGTGTTCTACAGTTCAGGAAGTGTTATGTGTCCCTTGCGGACACTATGGACATGCCGAACTTTGTGTGGATTTAAGCTGTTGAGATAGTCGTGGAAGCTGTTCACTTTATCTCGTTTGATTGTGAGAAAGGTATCGTCAAGGCCGAAAGTCCTGCGGGGACAATAACATCCGGCCAAGGCTAATTGTCTGAATCGCTCCATATAAATATTAGCTAAAACTGGGGATATACGGGAGGTCCCGTTGCAAGATCTTTTTCTTGACAATAAATGGTTCTGTGAAAAACAAACCGATCGAAATTCGAACACACTCCTATGCCTCCAACTAATTCATCAACCGAGAGCTGTCTTTGTTCCTCAAGTGTTGTGTGCATCGGTAACAACCTCTTGGTGACAACCTCCAGTGCCTACGGAAGAAAACCGTTGGATGATACCAGAGCGTATTCTGCCTCTTCGTGACAAGACCTGTGACTGGAGATTTTCTGCAATGCGATAAATAATTTCACGAAAAATTGCTACCTTAAATTATTTGGTGTTAATCAAACCATGGCGTGCCAATAGATCACTTCTTACGAGACCATTTCAGAGGGAACGCACAAGATGCAGCGGTGAGAATTATTACCATATGAAAAATAATATCCAACAACCTACTTTTGGTTGGAGTTGTCTTCATTCAGGCAAACTTCTCTGTGTTCAATGGTGGGCCGTCATGGGTAAGCGGCAGAGGAGCCAAGCGGTACCAAGTAACTTTTCAAAGCTTTCACTGAGTTGAACTCATTACCTGCTTCAAACTGGTCCCCGTATTGACCCGAAGTCTATGAGGCGACCGGAAAGCAATTTTCTGTGTCGATGAAACGATGTTGATCAGAATCCTGTGCCCAGTTCTGCATGCATAGATATTCCGAGGTAATGAATCTAGTTGCTGTAGTTATGATGGTCTGTATATGTGCAGGTGAAATATCTCAGATCTAACGTGAATCTTCTATTCTCCCTGATCAGAGATATTAGGAGACGCAATTTTAAGATTAGGAATCGGTTTGAGGTTCGATCCGTCGGCTGACAAATCGGCGACGGAAAGATCTAAAAAACAGTGCAATTGGGTTCTTCCGGTAGACCAAAGCAATGTGTGCATTGGCGAGTTGAAATAACGTTCGTTGGCCGTTGGCCTGTTCGCTGAGCTGGACGATGTGATTGCAGACGTTTCATCAATTGAGATGACAAAATCAGTACGTTGTTAGAAGGCGTATTGGCGCTTGTTGTGCGTGAGAAGTGTCGTGCGTGCGTTAATGTGCGTGCTGCAAGCTGATCACGTTTATTTGTTCAGTCGGGCGAACCCATTGGTTGCTGTTATCCTATATTCTGATTCACCAATGCTCACCTGACCTTTGAACTTGGCATCTCTAGTCGATGCTGGAGTGACCTCTGTCCTTGGCCCTTCCAAGTTCCGGGTTGTGACCTTTATTGATACGTTTCTTACACCGTGTGTAAGTATACATGTCAACAAGCAGAATCGCTTAGGCTCTAACCCGTAAATTTCAATGCACAATACTTGGTCTTGTCATCCTGGGAAGCTAATTGTTCAAGCAATTACGTTACTATGTTTTTCTATTCCAACAACCTGATCCTCCGTAATTATTTTTACCTCCTGCACCATCTAGCTTGGCAAGCTCTCTCCCATCAGAGGCCTATTTACTTACTAATTTGTCCAACAGATGCGTTATTCTGTTCATTTTTCATTGGTGATTCTTCCATCCAACTGTGAAACAAAAGTAGAAAAACTCAAAAGCGAACCTGAAACTACTCACCGTCTATTTTATCTTGTTTTTCATCTTATCTCTTATCTTATCTTATCCTTGACGAGTGTCCTCAGGGATACCCTTGTCAGGCTATTGAGTAGACTAGCTCATTAACTATTTAGGTTGTTGGAAGCGTTTACCAATTAGGTTGGTTTCGTTGTCAAGTGATAGGCTTTGTGCATGTCATGGATATGGTCCCGCGCCTAGTCATCATCATACTGATGTCGTATAGAAAAGAAGAACACGCAATTCCACCTTTTTCACTTCTAGCTTGTAAGGGTATAAAGTTCCGATGGAAATGTAGTGCCATTTGTTGCACAACAGTGATAAATGCGGAGCTCAGTGTAAAGTAGTTCAACACATTTTCCTCGTTGTAAATTTCATAAAACTGCGAGAGACATATTGCGACTGGTCATTGGATTGTTCGCCGAGCTGGGCAATTTGATTGCAAACGTTTCACCATCAATTGAGTTGACATCATCAACGCGTTATTCGGGAGCGTAGTGGTGCGTGGCGGTGCGGCACAACCACTAACCCATCGCCACCGACTACTACTCTGCCGAATAACGCTCTCATGATGTCACCTCAATCGGTGATGAAACGTCTGCAATCAAATAGCCCAGCTCAGCGAACAAGCCAGCGACCATCTACTCTACCTGGGCTGCCGACATTTTCCTCCACAGAAAACATATTGCGGCTAGTTTATCTGATGTGAGAACTGCATCGGATGGCGTGAAAACCTGGAGCACATACAACTGTGATACCGACTCAGTTCGTGAAGATCTTGTGCGTCATCAGCGTACACAGAAATTCCAGTTGATTCCTACTGCTACGTGAGTGTGCCTGAAAACTTAGCACAGTCGAAGTAATCACTTTTACTTAATTTATAACCAAATTTGGGAAAATAAGATTGATACGTTGGCAAAGGAGCTCTAAGGTAAGAATAAATGTTAGGGTTTAGGATACAATCTGAGCTTGCTGTTAAATTTCTGATGTATAAAACTTGCTCGTATTCATCGATCCTAACATGCCAGATTTATTTATCAAAGGGAAAACTCAATGTTTGAAAAATTTGGTTAGGTCTTTGGGAGGATATAAGTTTGACACCTTACAAGTTAAAAGACGGTGCATGTCATTTGACTAAGTGGACACATTTGAGCACCTCTGGTTCCAAAACAGAAAATAAAATTCAGATAAGGATTTTCGTTTTTAGTGAAGTCTCCAAATTTGGCATTTTAGGACAAATCGTTTCAATGGGTGTTAGAGAAACAACGATACGAGCAAGATGGGTGCTTTCATTTTGCGGACATGATACACTGCTCATAAATTCGCTGAAAGCCTTTCTAAAGCTTACTACCGTTTCAACCTTCTTCTGGCTCGTCAGGTTGGCGTAGTATCCGAGGTTTCATCAACCTCAAATTTCACGCAAGTGGAGAGATACACTCTTTTGTAAGTTATAGCGGTGTTGATGAAAAATCCAACATAATTTCTGGTTTATCATAATCTGCAACTTAATGTTCAAACGCTCGGTAACATCGACGTAGTTTACGTACGCAGTAGTAGTAGTCTGAACTTGCATTTTTTTCACAGTCCTCAGCAGTTTATCTGTACACCGACACAGGACCTTAGCGTAGTTTAACGGAGCTGAGTATTCGGCCCTTTCATCGGCCCCCATTTTGAGCTAGAGGGATCAGGATCTTCAGTCGAGTAGTTCAAACAGCGTGTTCAGGCCATTCGTTGAAGTATTGAGGTTGTTTAATAGATGAGATACGAGTCAAGTTACCGGTAAGATCTCATAAAGAGAGTTGCGCTCCCGCACTTACCTGGACAGATTTTCCGCTTTAAGGCTACCTGCAGGCTACGCTGCAGGACCCTTCTATAGCATCAATCTGCTGGTTAGGCTGAATGGATACCTAACAAATTTTCCAAGCTAACTGTTATTTTAGTTGATAAAAAAAGGAATGTCTTAATTATGTGTATACAATATGTGTTTGCAGTGTTCTTCCACCTACTCACCCACGGTCGAGTCCAAAGACAAAATGGCCGTCAATAATTAGGTAACCCGGATTTCAAGTAAAAAACACGTGCTTGATGAATGCTATCCGAAAAGCCACTGTCCTGCCATTTTTTTAGAATGCACTGACGCATAGGATCAACAAAACAGTGACTAAAATAAATATCCGATGGAATTGGGAAACTGGTCAGTCGAACAGATCCCGAAACAAACTGGGAGCCTCTACACACAACGGGTGTGCAAAAGCTGTCAGTGTTCGACTGTCGGTGTCTCCGAAGCTTTGGTCGGGTGTGGTAGGAGCACTGGGAGATGCGATGTAGAGATACAAAACCCGATTTTAAGAAGAACTGTCCAGCGCTGGATGAGGTGCTCAAGCCCGTCCTCTGATCAGGCTTCTCAGGATATGCATTTAGCATGTCAGATGGCCGTCTGCTTCGCCTATCTCGGTGCTGAGTTTAAATGAACTAATCTGAGCACGGTTCCTACTGCCATTAATATTGGTAAACGACTAAATTCGGTTGTGACAAGTGCAGCCGTATTGCTGTGAACCCGTTTGTTTCTCCCTCATCCGTGACACATCTGCACAGGTAAGATGTCGTCAAGAGTTTCCACATTCTTTCCATATACGACTGATTATTTTGCATAACGGTTGTTGAATGCTTGATGGAGCCAGCTTCCGTGTTTGAATCGATTTCAAGTCAATGTTGTAGTCACGTGCTTCTTATGGCGACCATGAAAACATCAAGTGGCCTCTGAATTAGCAAGTGGTGTCTACAAGTGGCAGAAAATCACCACTTTTATGCAACCACTCGGAGTTGCAGAACGCTCGTCATTGTGCCAAAGGGTCCAATGAGTATTTGTCGTAGTTGCACGTCACCTGCGTTGCTCACTGCATTAGGCTATGGACTGGAGTAAACCACAGGACTTGTGGAATTCGTCTCCCTTTGCCCGACATGCTACAACAAAAATTAACGGCTCTTGCTTGTTACTTCCATCAAAGAAGGCAGCACACCTCTTAATAGACACTGAATCAGGCAACAAAAACCACCACAGGCAGAAAACTTCCTTCTGGTGCTTCCGAAAATTGGTAGCCATCGATCGTCAGAGTACTTGAAATGCAGTGTGTTATATATTTCAGTGTGTTCGGGATCTATGGCCGATAACCTCAGCATCTAATAGCTGTTTATTGCTGACTGTGTCACAACTCAGAACTTGGATGACAACATATCTTTCAAGTCAAGAAACTAACTCATACGTCACGCAACTTTGTGCCAAAGAATCCATAAAACGGTCTGTTCAGTACAAAAGGAAAACAGCGATCTATTCAATGCCATTTAAGGTGTCATGTTGGCCATATTGAAAGGCTTGTTATGCAGTAACTGCATCAACACCAACAGTCATAGCTAGTATTTTCCCTTTTCTTTCCTTTAATCATATTACTGCTTAAGACTGTCTGATCTGCTTTGATTTGTCCTGACATGCGCGGTGAAGTCTGTCGATTGATTTGGTCACTAGAGTCGCCTGAATTTCACGTTGCGCCACTACCAGTGTTAAATGGGATAAATTGATGTAACCACATGGACTAACTTTTGGTAGACCATAAGGTGTGGAAGGCTATCTTGAAGTGTTACGGAATCCGAAGATCAATCAGGAATGACGGATTGAATGTGAGTTAAAACTATCGGTAAAATAACGCCCAACCAGACATTACTGACTTTCAGTAATGTCGTTGTAGGCGAACGGGTGAAACTAAAACAGAATTTCACCAAATACTCATATACACACCAGTTCTGTAGATCCCCGGAATGAGCTATTGATAACGACTGATGGGCTTGCTGGATGAACACCCACTGCCAGCCCCAAACTTATCTTCATAGTGTCAAAGCATATAGACGTCACTTGTCACTGGTCACATTCTCAGACAGTGGGCTCGGTCAAAAGTCAGGTCAAATGACTCGATCGAAGTTTGTGGTCTTATATCGATTCCATTTGTGAGTTGACCTCACAGCTGACCAGTTTATCGTGATCTGGTGGTGAAGCGCTTAACTACCAGCTGTCAGTTTGATTTCTTCTTAGGAGTGGACAAATACTGTCTATGAATGATTGCCCCGGATACAAAACAGCCACACACTTATCTCGACAAACACACTCGTTTGCAAATCAATATGGTCTTTTTTCAAGAAAGACTCAACTGAATCTCTCTTTTGTGACATTCTTCAACTGAATGTGATGCACGAAGGCCACCTCATGTTTAAGTTGGTACGACATTCAAGATATCGCAGTGTGTTTTCATACAGGGAACTACTCACAGGGTTGCTGAAAGCCCTTCGACACCCGTCGGCCGGTTTAACCCTTCTTGGGGCTCATCAACGCACAACGGTCTCATGTGCTAGATAGGATCCCAGGTGAAAATTCAAAATCTCGCCACCATCCAAAATCAATGAACTGTCATGTTTTCCTGCTTCTTCTTTTCTACTTGAATCAAGGAGCTTTGCTATAAATGCCTATTACTACGAAGACAAATGTAACACTCGTTGTAGCGCCACACCATTACTCTATGAGAAACTAAATCCTCCGTTTACTTTGAAAACAGCTGCCTTGGCAGTTTACTGTTTGAATCAAAAATGACTTGTTTGTTTCTTCACTAACTGCGTCTAACGGTGCTTACCAAACTTAAGACACAATAATCGCGACGGCTATAGGACTACAGTGCGAACGCCCCTACAAGACGGCCAAAATCATGCTCCTGTTTGGGGTGTATTTCCTGTCTGGAGATTTACCATGGGCGAGAATAGAAAGAGACGTTTCTTCATTAACGATTAGGTTTGTCGTCTTCGACGATATTTTCGTTGCATAATTTTTACGAAGAGTTGGACTTCCGGTGGGTGAACACTGAACAAACCGCTTGTGGCATCCAGCGATATTTTTCGTTTGTAACTTTTGGAAACAACTCTTCCGCTGGATGATCATGGCATCCTGTGCTCATATTACTGCTGGTGCTGACATTTGTCACACAAGATGTTATCAGGATACTTCCCAGAGGAAATTAATTGGTTAGGCATATTTGTTTGAGATCACATTCGCTAGAAGAAAGGCGGGAATTCTCATATCACTATAGTTCGGACTTGGGAACTTACTTGCTTTGATCCTTGATACCATATAAATTTACATTCACGTGTATACTTGCGGAAATAATTAATTAACTGGACATCAAGATATCAAAACCTTCGGTATCGCCAGTCAGCAAGGAGACTAAAATGTAAGCAGATATGCGCTAGATTCGTCCTTTTGTTGGGCTTACTGAGTTTCAACAGGGATCCAGACGAATTTGGTGTATCTTGTCCGGCTGAATGCTCCGTTTTGTAGTAACAAAATGCAAAGTGCAACTTTCGGGTGTATTGGGAGGTCCTTGTAGGTTGCCACGTTGGGCACATTTTCCGAACGTAGTTGGTGGTTACATCGAACAAAAGATGTGAACCCGATTGGCACTGAGCACCAATCATCACAGTCATCTCCTTGATGAGCGAAGGGTGCTAACGTGCCTGGATTCAGTGGTGTTAACTTGTGGGCACTACGTAGGAGGGACTAACTGCTAATACGAACCAAGCTGCACTAGCAGTTCACTGGTTCTTTTCACTGACACGTTCTTAGTGGCATTTTTCCTACGAGTATACAAGATAAAGTCTTTCTCACTCCCTAAGAGCGTCCTATTTCTTACTCTCAACTGTTATGGAACACCATCTTGATTAGCTGTAGGAAGCGAAACGCCACTATGTACCCAAATTGAATGTAGAAAACATAGACTTACAAGTACCGAAGCATCAATATGTATTCGCTATACCCTTTTGACCACTGTCCTAACGTTCGAAAGAATCTTGTTCTTAACTGCTTTCACAAAATGTGTTCTACAATGAAGTTTGTTCGCTGAACTACCGAGCAAACCCCATTAATCATCCTTCTAAACTGCAACAAAATCATCGTGTCTGTTCACCACCCGGATTACCGAACATCGTACGGATTTCAAGTGGAAGTAATTATCTGAACAGCAGTGACAACCTTATCAGTGGTCGCTCACAACCGCTTTTATCACCAGAGTTCATTCATCAATACTTCCACTACAACCAGCGCATGTCACCAACACTCGTGACATGAAGGATTATGTTCGGTGTATTTTGACCTTACAATTCGCATTCTGACAAAGCTTCCGGTCGATTACAATAACCTACCCTTAGATAAGTTCGATGTATACGGGTGTGAGCTGAGGTTCGAAGTTTGCAGAAGTTGAGCACATCTATCTGGCTGAACTGATTTTTGGCGCGAGACATTCAGAACAACTAGCCTTGTAACAAGCATGGCTGGGATATGATTAGTGAATATTTTCTAACATTGCCTTAATTGATATTGGTGTTGACGTTTAAATTAACGAAACGTGATAGACCTGATAGATCACCCGACAGAAGCTTATTCCTGCTTTATATAGTTGAAATATTAGGATGGAATGTTTGTAATCCTTTTATTCCCATGAAGGACATTAACATGTCGTGTACAGTTGTACCTCTGAAGAGCTGACTTCTGCGAACCGAATCCAATGTCTGGTTCCAAGTTTTCCCCATCACGAGACACAGAGGGCTTTCAAAGCAAATGCCTAATTTATATCCAAGACCTCAACTAATTTCTGTGCTCACGTATACTCCTGGAGATTTTCATGTCGGTAGAAGACTGATATGAGTCATTTTGTAAGTGACTGGTAGCAGCCACTACTTGAGTGTGGCATGTTCAGCATTATTTGACGCTAATTAGCGTTGCTCTGTGACTAGAGCAGTATACAGGGCTATCTCGTTTACATAAATCGCTTTCTTGTATGGAACACCTCAAATGCTACCTGGACGCGATGACTAGTTCTTTAGGAACAGCTATCCCCCTCTCCACCTCCAGTCTGTTATTAGGCCTCCATAATTTACGATATATGTCATTTGTGATAGTAATGTCCTACTGTACCAGAGGAGGTCTACAGACGGGAAGATAAAATTTCCCTCTTACAAGCAGATTCCTGAAAGCCATATGGCATTTATTGTTAGTATGCAGATTTTATTCAAAACATAACGATCTCACGGTAGTCGTCTTCCATGGTGCCTGTGCGAAATTCCAAAAAAACCCATTTATTTCCATCACCAAACATGGGAATGGCATGAAGTAGGATAGAGTTTAGATTTCGCCAGAAATCAGATATTTTCGTTTTGTCCCATGGACAGAGATTACTGCACCCAGCGGCACAAATGGCATGACTGACTAGGTGATACCTCTGATACGGAAGCTGGGCCAGTAAAATTCCCAACTGTCAAATGACTGTACACTCAGACTACGTTTGGCTGTTTCGATGCAAAGCGAGCTGGGTTGTACCATCAAAATGAACCGTGATGTTGTCATGCCCATGTCAATTTCATTTCTCACCAAGCTATTATCATCAAGGAACAAACTTAAGAAATTCGAACTGCCTTCTGGCAGGACTTACGATCTTCTGACCACAGCGATTTGTTCTAATAGCTAAGGGTGGTTAGGATCTGTTACAAACGGAAGCAGCCCATTAAACCTGTCAGAAGTTTGACAATGATGAATTTGCTTAATCCATCTAGGATCCAAGACACGTCAAGTTGGTACAGATCACTAAGCTGAAGAAAAATATAGTGCCTGAACTCTGTAGCTACATCTTATGCAAATAAATCCGGATTGAACCGTTTACTGAATATATGCCCACACTGACTTGTTCTGCATCTTACTTGAGAGATGAACGGCGCCACAAACTATGTTGAGTATCAATGAACGACAGGTTAATATCATTCCTCACCACATTCCTGCCGGGTGAGGTATGATGACTTTCGCACGAAAGTCGAGCTATTTGACTCCAGCCTCATGTGGTAACATGTCCAGAATTAAAAGAATTGTTGATATATGAACGGTCGACTGTCCTTTTTGAATGTAACGTGTTGGTTTTTCTTGTAAATATTTGATCCATTGATCTACCGATGGATAGAACAATTAGTATTCATTCAAATGACCGAATAAAAATGCCAGTCATGAAAAATTTAATAATGGTTTTCTGGTCAGTTTAGGGCTCACATTACGGAAAAATACTTTGCAAAACTGCCGATAGGCTCAAAACATCATACCATCCTACTGGTCGCTTGAGTTTTACTAATCATAGATCTACGATGCAAGTTGAAAGCGAACTGGCAAATATTGGGTAAGGGACTGGGAGTGTCACATGCGAATCTGACTATTCACCGGACGATTAAAACGCTTCGTACTTACAGGCTCAAGAAATCTAAAAATCCAGAAAAATCATAGACGGGTCTTTTGTCTAAGCTGTAGTACGGTTTCTAGCTCGTCTCAGGCCACAAGTTTACTGATATTTTCATGCACGTTTGGGTTGTTCAGCTTTTGGTGTTCATTTTACAGTTGCCTTGTCAAACTGTTTGCAACCTAAGCAATTCGTGCGTTCTATTCTTTTGTCAAACCGAGGAGTACAAATGGACGAAAGAAGTGGATGCAAAGAAGAGGCCAATCGCGAGGTCTGTGAAGTCTGGGTCTAAATGCACGCAGACACTAGATGGTACACTGATTTCAACGCCATGTCTATTTCGGCACGTTCGGTCAATTACGGCTGATCAAGTAAAAGAAATGCGGACAAAATACGGTGTAAACATTTGAGGGGAAATATTGTTACCAATCCGGCCATTTATAGACCATTTTGTCTTTAATGCGTCTTTCCTAAGATTTGATCTTTCGTTTACCATGAAAAAAGATATTCCAACAGAATCTTAACGATGTTGTTCAGCTTCAATTTTCTACCCGCCCCATGGTGACTGTGAATTAGTTTAAGGTTAGCATATATGCACCGAGGTTGAGTGCTACAGAGTACCTCGTAGGCGAGCTACGACCTATTTTCTCAAGAGTATATTGCGGCTCCCGAATACTACTCACCAGTAGCGTGGAAGAGTTGGCGATGGTAGCCGGAATTTCTATGTAACCTCCCTGTAGGTACTAGGAAGACGACATAGTATAAGCTTCACCTAAGGTTTAAAAAATCCTGCCGACGAATTCTAGCGACTGCGTGAGCCGGTATTTGGTTAGCTCACCGTACACGACACTGGAATGTACGGCTGTCTAAGAAAATATAGAAATTGACTACTTGTGAGTAGGCATAACTAATTGATTGATTCCGCGGACAGTCTAAAAAGCCAGACGGGTCATTTTCCCAGAACACTCGTAATTTAATCAAGCAGAATGACGGGTGGGATGAACTATCAGCCCGGCCACGGATAGATTTTGGGAAATGGGCGACCTCTCAGTAAAGAAATGAGAAAGATACAGTAAAACTATGGTCAGATGCAGAAACACTAGATCACAATAGGGTTTTCGCGTTGAATTCGATTAACCAGGTGGGCCTAAACTGATGGTGCAATAGACTCCTTTTTAAAAGATTTAGTTACACACCTATAGGTTTTTTTTATCACCACTTCTGAAGTTTCTTGTGTGTACAGAAATCTGTCATGAAAATGGTCATCAACGGCGCTAAATGCATCGTCCGCGTCCGTCATGTAAGAGCACGTGTCTGGGCCAGTACGCTACATACACTAGTTGATAAAGATTTGCCCAATTTCCAACGTCACTGAAGATTTCACAGAAGCAGGATTATTTCGAGCAAAATAATGGCCAAAAAAGTCTGCTGATGGTTAGAATCCCGAATTTTTCAGGTGCTTTTTAGGGTTTAAAATAGAAACAAACCCTCGGAGCACATATTCGCCGACCAGCATGCGCATCGCGTGAAATTCCGTTGGGTGTGAAGCCTAGTTGAGATGAGGTGTTGACTTATTTAGTCAGCCGACTACTTCCTAATAACTGGCACTTTATTGGGTTTTCATGGAAAAGACCTTCACGACAGTGTCACTTCCGTGATTACTGGGACTACTCCAGGAGCTGTATCTATTGTTGCTACAAACATACAATCCGACCGAGACCTGATATTCACCACGTCCCCCTATACATCGACGACCATTTCGATGAAATATTCGAGAAGATCCGTTGCACAAGTCAGACTCGTTCAACAATGAAGAAACCTGAAACAGCTGTGTCGACAACCACATGCCTGGTAATAACACGTCAAGCAGTTGCCTATAGTCGTGCTCATACTACCTGTGTTCAGCATGGTTGACCTAGAAGCCCTAACTGTCAGAGCAAAAAGATTTTGGAGTACAAATGAACTCATATCTGACTTTGAGAAATCTCCAAATTCTGAGCATCCCTTAAAACTATTTTCAATTGATATGATTTATCAGGCTCGTGAATTGAACTAAGCGGGTTACATTCTATGGTGCCCTAGTGTAACGGACAAGTAAACATGATAATGCCCCATAAATACGGTTTATGTAGGCAAATTAGGGTTTATATGTGCATGGGTTAGGGAGAATATAACAGAATAGAAGTATGTACAAAGTAGTGAGCAGCATTCGGTCGCAGTGTGACTGTGTGGCTCAAACACGGTCACGAAGTTAGTAGTCAGCAAAGAGGATTCTCCGTTGAGGCAGAGCATGAACTTTGACTAGCGTTCAACAGGCGGTAGGCCTCACGGATGTGCTTCGGCTTCAAAGGCCCAGATTCTCCAAGCCGTTCTTTGTAGTCCAAAGCTATCAGTTTAAAGTGAAAGGGGGAATTAGGTCGAAGAGAAAGTCCATTAACGATTGGCACAAAGTATTTTGTTTTCTTCTATACCAGAACAGTACACTCGATGTATTGTTCCGGGGCAGTGGTTCGGTAATTGATCTTTAACAAGACAGTAACAACCTGAACCACACACTAAGAAGGGACATTTATAGTCGTACCAAGCTACTGGATCTAGATTGTGATATGTGTTTCACGGGTCATTTTAAGAACGCTCAAAGTCGCGTCATGAAGAGAAAACAAGCGGGATTCAACAAATATGACCAACGCGTACCAGGAATCATGGTTGCATCGTATTCGTTGTTAGACACCCGTGAGAGCACTCGTCCTTCACTTTGAATGTTCTGACGAAACCCACAAAACACCATCTTTGGGAAAGTTTTTTTAAAAAAACGGTAGGAACTAGAAAGTAGCGAACGTTGAGATGCTGTATGCACGATTTTCCACTTAAATAAGACGACAAATTCGAAAACGGGAGAACCATTTACCTAATTAAGGTGTGTTCAGTACAAGTCGAATACAGAAGCGGATCGATCTTTTATCCTGTAAAACTTATGTAGGAACAGAAAAAACCCAGTGCACGCTTGCCTAAGATTTCAAAATACATTTTTGGCATGAGAATAAGATCGTTCGTCTGGAAAATCCGTGATAGCACGCTACGCGTAGGAGACTGAGAACAAAATGGTCGAAGGTCTGCCTGTATGGGTTCAAAAGATACATGGGGTCGATACAGCTCTGAATTTCGATCCGTTGTATTAATTATGTTGTTAATCTAAGCGAAGTGGTATGAGTTGGACAAACTACAGCTGGGAATCAGGTTATGTGCACATAGCACTGATTACATGAAGCCTGATTCGTTTTTGGTGATTCGTGCCAGCTCCCTATTGCGATATATATATATATATATATATATATATATATATATTCTCCAATAAATCAACCCACAGAGTAATGTTAGTAATGTGACTAACAGAACGGAACTCACCCTCTTCGACTATTTCTCCAATATAGACTTTTGTCATTCCAGCTATTGCGATGACCACATTCTGAGACACGGCACAGGAAGCAACAGATTGAATCAGCTGTAAGGAGATATGAGACGTTGGGGAAGTTGGGTTCCCGGGGGAGAAAGAAATGGAACTTGACGGTACAGTCCAACACAGATCTGAGGAATGGCTAGTTACTAATGATCATACCTCCTGTATGTAACCAGCCTTCTTTAATAAAACCGTGCCTATGCATGCAAATCGCAAATTTTATGCTACCCTCCCGTCCTTGATACGGCAAGCTCTCTAATAAAACCAACTTTGTTCCACTTTTTGTGGTGATGAAGAGGGGCAGCACAGTACCTAAGGTGCTGAGGTCCGAAAACGGATTTCGTATCACAGTCGAGTTGAGATGACACGATTCGAACTATCACACCACCTCTGTTCTACGGTGCGTCGTAGCACGATACCTGTGAAATTAAGGAGGCATTCACTGCGGAGTTATTTATTAGAAAATGCCAACTGACCAGGGAGGCAAAACCCTCATTTACATCTTATTTACAAAAATTGGACATCCATCTTCTCTTGAATGCGTCTTCTTGAACTTCAATTGATATTCATTGACTGCAATCACTCATTGCTCAAATTCAAGCAAACGCTACAAAGTGACTCCACAAATTCTGCAACAGATCTCCCTTTTCAAGAGACGCAAAGCAAATTTACAAGAACAAAACATACTACTCGCATGCCTCCCCATCAGTAGTATCACCGTTACACCTGTAAGAGCAAACGTAACGCTTAAAGCCCTTTTTCGCACCTCGAAGCTGGACACGGAAAGAGGTGAGGCGTCCACTAGACTTTCAGAAGTATATTTTGTCGCGCAAGGCCGAATGAGGCGACAAACGAAACAAGGTATTTTCGTTACTTCAGTGTAGCCTTCCACAAGACGAAGGTCAAAGACACACGAGGTCAATGTCCAGACGAACGTCTTGGTCGCCGGCTGGAAAATGGGTTCTGCGATGTACACAGTTAAGCAGACTAGGATGATAACAGAATACGCGCAGTAAGGGTGACAGGGCGTAACACCAAATACCTGCTAGAAATTTTTTGAAAAGTGGAAATCTACGATCTATTCAACAATTTTCGATTGCGTTTTTGGCAGTCAATGCCGAAAAGATGAGAAGCACCGTAGAGCTGCCTCGTCCTTATCGGAGATCTTCAGTGGTCCGAACCTTACGAAACTCCTAGGATTTCGAACCTCAGCATTCTGGTTAGTGGTTGAACAGTTCACTCGAATAAAATAATCAAGAGAATGCACAATATTGGTTTTTAGTGAAAACCATTTGGCTGGCTTACTCGTCGAACAGAGGCCTTTGCAAAGGTCGCCCTCCGAAAAGTTTCGAATCGATTCAACTGTTCCTCATCAAAGTGTGCTAACAACGCCAAGAGCTTCCGGTCTTCTTTCTTGCGTTCCTCCCGCTCTTGCTCAAGTGCAGGCGAGATGAGCCTCGTCACCACAGAATCTGCATCGTCTTCTCCCAAGACAGTACTCACATCTTCCTCCTCCTCATCTTCTTCTTCGTCCTCCTCTTCCTCTTCCAGAGTGTCTTGCTCCTCTAACTCCTCGGTCGGAGCTTCCTGGGAGGAACACGCTAGTTCCTCGGGCTCATCTGATGGACCCAGAAGCAACTGATCAGTCTTCACGATTGTATCCGGACCAATCTGACTTGGGGTTGGAGGTAGAACGTCTTCCGCGACAGTGAATGAGGAAGACTGTGACAATAAACGAGCGGAACGTAAGATTCTGAGTAATCAGTAAACCAAGGTTACATTTTACAATTTGAACTGTTGTACAGGCTTGGTAACTGAGTAGATCCTGTGAGCTATCAAAAATGGACGGGATCCGAATGGGACATCAAGAACAGAATTTGTGAAATTACACTTTCCCTTGGAAGATAACAGAACACGGATACTCACCTCGATAGGGCTGAGTTTTGGTCGCTTAGCAGGGCCAATTTTATCATCTGCGTCAGGAACAAAAGCTGATGGGACTGGATTATCAGCGATCAGTGATTCTGAAGGAATTATATTGGTATTATCCTGAACAGATGAAAATTCTGAACTACGAAACTGCGATTCCTGCTCAGTTAAACTGGCTGCTTCAGACATTGAGAAGTATGTGGTGTGGGCTGAAAAGTAATGAAACAGAAACGCTGAGTTGGTATCAAGTCAAGGTTGAAGTGTCCCAATAACTAAGAGAAGGGCGCGAAGGTAAATTACTTCGAAAAAAACAGCGGACTCGGGAGTGCTTCTGGACTTCTGGTACGAACGTTGGACATCAACGAAGAAGCACGATCAAAGAAATCAATGACTTCAAACGCAATGGCCAACTAACAGTGAACGTCTTGTTTCAAACTGGAAACAGGAAAGTACTACAGATTGAGTTGGTAGGATGGATGTACTACACCGACGCCCATCTACAGGTCCTAGGATCCGCGTCCGAAAGATAGACGCTGTGTTCCTGAAAATCAATAATTACATGCACCGAGTGTGGGGACTTCTAAATGGGATTCAAAAGAAAGGCCAAGACTAGAGATTTGGAGACCCGGAATTCGGCACCATTTAGCGCTATTCTCAAAGAATGAAATCCTTAAAATTATTAATTTCGTGTAAATTACTCCTGCCGTACTGGCTAGTTTTTGTATTCTGACGCCGCTCCACGGTTGTGAGCCCCTTGCTCAAACGCATAACTAGCTGATAAAAAGTAGACATACTGGATAACAATACCGCGCCGGTATATTAAATTTAAGCTGGACTATTTTCAATAATGATGCATTCTCACATGGCATGCTCGTGTGATTTGTAGGACTTTTCGTACGAGGAAATACTTCTGTGAATGGCCTATTATAAGCCTTTACTAAGCTCTCTACAACTACTTTCGGTGGTTCAAACTGGTACCAGAAGTACTATTCTGACCCAAAAGAACACTCACTTCGTACATTTCAGCTATGCCTGGTCTTGTTCGTGGTGGACCCGGGCATTCAATATGTGGTCTTCATTGCCAATTTATTAAACGCCTTGACTATCGTCCCAATGATGACTGATACACCTAGCTTTTCACGTCTGCATCATTCAAGTGCTAAAACAGCAATGTATGTTGCTCCCAGTAAGTTCAATAGAATGCAAGCATTGCACCTATCAGCTGCCTAGGAGTCATTTACGAAAGCGACTGGTTCATACCTTATTGTAAAGAATTTTTTGCATACACACTTGAGAGCTTCACCACAGTTGTATGTAGTTGACTAATGCCTTAGAAAACCACTTGAGTCAAACGTGTACACTCTTCCTCTGTCAGCTTATTAGACCGGCGCATCAGAAAAAGGCGATTTTTAAATGCTGGGAAGGTTAACCGTTGAAAAAGGGATGGGATTAATCTAGAAAACAAACATTCCCACTGACTGCACTTTGGAGACCAATGACGTTGCTTCTCAACGTCACTATGAACAGCAGAATTTCAAGCTCAATGGCCCGGTTATAACCAGATTATCCAGCAACAGTTTACGAAGCTGAAACTAGTAACACGAACGTACAAACTTATTCTAACATATGTATGGCAGCTTCATCAATCATTGTGTATCTGGGCGCTTTAGAGGAATATCAAATAAATATCCATTAATTAAGCGACATGTCGGTCCAGTAAATTGAACCACGAAGACTGATTGTAAGAACCACCAACAAGTAAATCGTGTTGTTCCGCAGCACCGCATCATCTGAGAACCTAAGAGGTAATGTGGACATCGTCTCGAACCGTGTGCTACAGGGAAACAATCAGCAGGATGCCTGCGGATTTTGACCAGCCTCTTCTGTTGTTTCTACTCGTGCAATGTTCCCTTCTTACTACCACCTCCGGAAAATGCAATAAAAACATATTGAAATTAACGTACACAGTCGTGCTGTTGTATGGGAAAGGAAGCAGTCACATAGGAACTTAACGTACAGATATAACGTCCTGACTCTACGATGACAAGGGTCGAGATGAACCAGGATGCCGTGTAAGCCCATTCCAATAAATGCGACCCACTACACACTTTGCAAGTCCAGATTCACGTGACTACAGAAATGTGAGAACTCCGTTGTTATATTCCGTATTGGAGCAATGTTTTCCACAAGTACACACAGATACAAAATGTAACTGTATTTTGGGAATCTCAAGCATATTGTGCGATCGTTCTGGAGGGTAGTTAGGCTTATTGGCGAATATAAGATGCGACATGTCTAATGCAATTACATATAGAGCATTTACTCAATTTGTTTTTTTGTCTCAACAGGTACACAACGCATGTACTTGGTTCCATGGTGCAGTTACCAGGTTTAAAAAAACACTTCTCTCAGGATGTTTCACAATCACCCATGCAGCGGAAGTCGATTAAACTTTTAGCAGGTGGAATGAATATAAAGGAAAATGTTGGAAGCTCAGATAGCGTAGATAATCGTTGGATTGTTCGTTGATCTGTGCAATTTGGCGTAGCTGGGGTCACGCAGTCCCCATCATGGTAGACAACTAGCACCCAAACGTTTCCATCTCCATCATACCCCTCTACCAGCTCAAGGATAGGCCACTACTCCGAGTCGGGCATGGAAGACAGCGTTTTCCTCGGCAAGCGGTGGTTCAACATATGCAACACGTGTTCCAACCAACGCAGCTTCTGGTGCTAGACACATTCTTCAATGGAGATACCTGTTGCACAACCGAAGACTCGCTTTCTAATTGCCTCGTTACGGATTCTCCGACACCAACCTACACGAGCTATGGTCCTGAGAGAACAATTATCGACGCTTCAGGTCCGCTGTTCGAACAGGCCAAGTCTCACGGCCATGCAACAAAACAGCCCGCACTGTAGCATGATACACATTTTGACATCATAAGTTTCTCCAGTGAGCAAACGCGACCCGCGTCATAGAAGATTCGTGCGTCGACACAACACAATCACAGCTAATAACATCCACTAAGATACATAAAACGCCCTATGACTACCAGTGTCTCTCCATGGGTTGTAAGTGGCGTGTTAAGTGACTGCGTGCCCAGAAGCATGATCTTGCACTTAGTTTGTACAAAGTGCATATCAAAGGACGGGATGACTTTGGTCAGTTCATCCAAAACACCTGCGCCTCCTCCTTCTCTTCGAAGACGAGAACGATATCGTCTGCATATTCCAGATCGACGAGGTATTTGTCACAGGCTGTTTGAACACCGGAGTTCCGGAAACCTTCCAGCGTCTCATGATTTCATCGATCACGAAGTTAAATAAGAATGGAGAAAGTGGGCATCGCCGACGGACACCATTTTGTGTACGGAAGAGCTCTCCGCATACGCTCAAACGTCCGAAAGTCTGGGAATACAAAGAACTTATTATGTCCGCGAACTTCCAGGACATTCCTTCGTGGGCAAGCGTGTCAAGAACAGACCGGTCAACTGAGTCGAATGCGCCTTGGAAATCCATGAATGCAACAATTGTGTGAAGATTTAATGGACACAACACGTACCAGGTCGGAATCCAGCTTGCTGCTCTCGAGTCAGTGTTTCATATGCCTCTATAAGGCGACGAAGAACAAGTAACGTCCCAGTACGAATTCACACCTGATGACGGAGCGTTTGGAAGAGACTCTAGAAAACCATTCTGGTAAATTCGTCCAAAATCCGGATCTACCAGTCCTTTTTGTTTCCAGGCTATTTTCCTGTACATTACAAGGCCCTGGAAAACGAAGGGAGAAGCAACTCTTGACGAACGCGTGGTCGAAATCCACAAACGTGTTCCGGAACGAACGGCAGTCAGCTATTGATGGCTATTGAGTTTGTGGCCGGCATGCCATGGGAGGACACCACGTAGCAGTCAGCACACAACTGAAGCAATCGTTCACCATTTTCCGCACGTACCGGGTCCAGTGTATGTCGTCCCCCTGATTATGTCTCAAATACGCAAAGCCTGCCTATTTGTGCATCCAGATCTCCGGCGACCACAACGATATCTGAGCTTTTAGCTCACTGCAACAGGGCATTCAGGGCGTCAGACATTAGTGTGTAAGTAGACAACAGAAATCGATCAACTTCCCCATTGTGGGACTCTTTCATAGACGTTGCCAGACAAATCGCGCACACCAACGGGTATCCAGTCAAGCAAGGATACTTCCGCCCGGTGACTTAGGACACGATACCAACCCCTGCACATGCTACCGCAACAGCCTCTGGATCACCAGAGGTGCGCAGCCGGAAGCGAGTGGAGAGTGATGGGGCGGTTAGCTTAACCACTGTGCTCGCATCTTGAATTCTTGTTTCTGATACACAGCGCACATCAATGTCAAGGGAGTCCAGCAAGAGAGCAAGAGTAGCTTGTTGACCTGCTTGCTTCAGAGTGCGGGCATTGAAGGCGGCTGGGAGCCGAGGCTTGAAGATTGAAGTCGCGATACTGAGGATGTGGGCCACAGATGACTCGATGTTGATTGCAAGACTGATATAGGATGGACGGAGCAGTCGATCCTAGGTGCTGGGCTCACAAGAGCAGAATCATCAATGGAGTGGAGAAGGAGGGAAGAAAAAACATGTGAAAGAGAATGAAGGATGGCTTCGGCAGTAGCCTGTTTTCGTTTAGCCATCCTGCTGTATGCAGCAAATAAGGCTGATGACACTACGCAACGGCCAATGTGGCGTGAGTTTATTTGTATGTATACAGTTCATGGTTGTGTGGGCTAGGGTACTGTCAGGGCACCCACACCTAGATAGGAGGATGAATAGGGTCCTAATGATGCTTTGGTTCGAAAGCCTGACCGAAAGGCAGCGTTGTGGGACTGGAAATACAAGCACATTGCCATTTTTACGGAAGACGTTGCCAAACATGTTTCAATCCCCCAACATGGAGGACAAGGAGACTGTGTTCGTCAGACCTCTAACTATCGATTGAGAGACGGCGAGTGTCGCGCGGACACCCTTCGGCATAGCTTAGTGGGTCGCCAAGGTACACACACCACCACACCACGGTAAGTTCCAGTCTATTCGTGATGGACTGAGGCATACAGGCAATAACGAAAACTGCGATCACTTGGACATGTGACATATATAGTGCAGCTTCCTCTGTGAAAAACAGCATTTGCTTCTGGCATACACATGAGAATATCGTATCTTGATAACAGTACGATT